CAGAGCGTCCATCACTATGCCACAGATCTGAAACAGTACATCGAGGAGCTGAACACGGGCTACTACATACAACAGACGCTGGAAACGGTGCTGCAGGATGAGGAGGGCAAGCAGTTGCTGGTAGGTGCTAGGAAAGCTCGCGGGGAGGTAGCCCACAGGTCGCTAGGGTGAAGAGGTTACTGCTGGCCAGGTCAGGAGCCTGCTTCTGCGATCTGCCTAAGCTGATGGGGTTCTCCAAACAAGTCTTCATCGAGAGTTCACTTCATTCAATTCCGTTCTACCTTGCAGTGCGAATCGCTCTATATGTATGGCGTCATTTTGCTGGTCCTGGATTTGCATATACCCGGCGATGTGCGGGAGCGCCTGCTGATTGCCTACTATCGCTACAGTGGGGGCGATGCCACGCCCAGCGGTGATGAGAGCAACATACACGATGTCTGCCTGCTGTTGCGCTCTACGGGCTTTGTGCAGCCGGCGCAGAATCAGGCGCTGCTCGCATCCAACAAACAGCCAGCGCCTGTGCCCAAGTATCCGGAGGCGTATTTTGCGCGCTTTCAGTTCGATGCGAACTTCATAGATTTGGTGTTGGGTCGGCTGCGCTGCGATGACATCTACAACCAGCTGGCCATCTATCCGCATCCGACGCATCGCACCACAGCGCTGTCCACCCAGGCTGTGATGCTCTACGTATGCCTGTACTTCTCGCCTCAAGTGCTGCACACACAGGGCGCCCAAATGCGCGAGATTGTGGACAAGTTCTTCAGCGACAACTGGACGCTGTCCATTTACATGGGCATCACCGTAAACCTAATTGATGCCTGGTCGTGCTTCAAGGCCGCCAGCGCAGCTGTGGCCAATGTGGTCACGCCCGCGGCCCTGAAGACGCTTTGCCAGCAGCAGCGCGATCAGATGCTGAAAACGCTACAGAAAACCCAGGAGATTGTGCGCGAAGGCGTCCTCGACGATGCCTTTGTGCTGGAGCATGCCAATCAGATAATTGTGCTGATGCGACAGGCCAATGTCCTGCTGCGCTGGTATTGCCTGCACACCAGCCCCGCCGTCCTCAATATGTCCGGTCAGGCGGCGTCGGTGGCGCAAGTGCATCAAATGTTGCGCACGGAGCTGAAGTTTGAGCCGGGCATGCTGTACCATCTGCTGCTCAACTGCGGCCAGCTGGAGCTGACCGTCAGAGAGCTGTTGGGCGAGATCCGAAAGGATCGCGAACAACGCTGGACACACAATCGCGACGAGGCAATGCAGTATCTGCGCGAGCTGAGCGAAGCGTTTGCGGGCACACGTCCCCTGACCAAGATCGAAGCGAATCCCCATCTGCAGCAATGGTTTGGTCAGGTCGCGCAACGTTTGCAAAAACTGGAATTGGCTAAGCCGCAAAAGTCGGGGCGACTCATCATACAGGTGATGCAGGCACTGGACGAGGTACAGGAATATCACAATCTTCATGCCAATATGCTGGTCAAACAGCAGCTGCAGGAGACGCGCGATCTGCTGAATCGCATGGCGCAGGTAATGTATAAAATGTATATATAAAAAAAAAGTTATAGGTTCAACTTTTGAAAATCGCATAGAAAGGCGATATTTAAGGGTGAGCCGAAGAGCAAAAGTAAAGCGATAAATAGACATAACGAAAGCGCTCTCTTCATTAAAATCGCCTTTCTACGTGATTCTCATGAATTTTTGCACAATATTTGCCTTATTTTTTACCTATTTAAAACCATTGTATAAATGATTCCCTAGTTGATCAACCTGAAGGAGGACATTGAGATCCACATCCAAATGATCAGCGACTTTAGCTACGCCTGGCAGCTGTTGCAGCGAGATTTCACGCTCATCATGCAGGATCATATCAAGCGCCAGCCACAAGCTGTAATTTGCATACGTGCGGTGTTCCTAAAGCTGGCCAGCACGCTTGAGGTGCCGCTGATGCGTATTAACCAGGCCAAAAGTGAGGATCTGGTGTCTGTGTCCAACTACTACAGCACGGAGCTGGCGAACTTTTTGCGACGCGTGCTGCAAATTGTGCCCGAGACAATGTTCAGCATTCTGGCGAGGATTATACAGCTGCTGACGAATGTCATCAAAGAGTTTCCCACACGTCTCGAAAAGGATAAGCTACGCGAATTTGCGCAGTTCGAGGAGCGCGCCAAGGTGGCCCAGTTGACCAATTCCATTGCGGTATTCACCAAGGGCATACTCATGATGAAGAAGACTCTGGTGGGCGTCATCGAGCTGGATCCCAAACAGCTGCTGGAGGATGGCATACGCAAAGAGCTGGTGAATCACTTGGCCAATGCGTACAATCTGGGCCTAATCTTTACGCCAGAGAAGGGCAAGACGTGCGTGCAGCTGCTGCAAGAGAAACTCCAGGCGCTGGCCAAGACCATCGAGGGCTATCGCCGATCCTTTGAGTATATTGAAGACTATTTGCGCGTACAGGGCCTGCGCATATTGCTGGAGGAATCGCAGCGCATCATCAACTACAACGTGGAGAAGGAATGCAATTGCTTTCTGCGCAACAAGGTGCAGGAGTGGCAATCCCGCTTCCAATCCCAGACCATACCCATACCCAACTTCCAGCCGCTACAGGGTGACAGCAGCAAGTCCAACAATTTCATAGGACGTCTCGCGCGCGAAATCTTGCGCTGCACGGAACCCAAACAGACCATCTATCTGGACCTGAAGTGCAGCTGGTATGACAAACGTGCGCCGCATACGGAGCTGCTCGCCGGCTCCGGCTTCTTCAGCGTGTTGCGCGAGGCCATGGCGCCGGCGGGCATGGTGGGCCTGGAGCGGCTCTATGCGCACATGCTGGCCGATGAACTGAAAAGTAATCTGGACAGGCTGCAAAAGAATCTAAGCTCGGATCGCATGTGGTGCGATGCGTTGAGCAGCCTGACCAAGGAGCTGGAGTCGCGCGATTTTCCCGGCGACCTGGCCAAACAGCCGCTCAAGTATTATCAGAGCTATACGCAGCGCTGGCTGAAGGTGTGGCCCACGCTCCTCGACTGGATACTTGCGCTGGGGCACAAGCAGCTGCTGCGCCAGCAAATAGCCAGCGAGCTGAGCTTCAGCAGCAAATGCGATGCCAAGCTGCTGGAGAATACAACGGATACGCTGAATCGGTAGGTGACATGCCCAAAACTAAGCTTAAAGATTAATCAATTCCTCTAACTTACAGCGCCCTGTTGCTGGAGCTCTCCTGCAATACGAAGCTGTGCGATGAGCAGGGCGTGGGCATGCTAACCGAGCTGCGGGAGATACTCCAGTATACGGGCAACTACGAGCCGCTGGAGCAGATCTTTGTGACCACCAAAAATACGCACAACATGTCCCTGTTCTTGTTCCTATTCAGCATTGCCCATGTCGGTCGTTTACAGCATTCCACAAACACGGACTGTTTGCTGCCCAAGTCCGCCAAAGATGTCATCGATTGTGTGCCCTTAATCACGGGCCTGCTCACCGTGCTGCAACAGTTCCACAAGAACGTCAAGATGCTCTACATCTCCTACATGTGCCAGTATGTTGTGACCGTGGCTGAGGCGCAGCTACTGTGAGTACTCCTAGCTAATTAAAGAGCTGACCTAAAACTAATCAAGCGTTTATATATATCTATAGCGACAAGGAGCTGCTCGGTCCTGATGTGGTCACCATGCTGCACTTTCTGCAGGCATTTGTGCGCATGGCCAACTTGCCGCTTGGCGTCCTGGAGCAGCGCATACCCAATATTATTTTAAGCGAGTTTGACTATTTGGCAACGCCCGTCAAGTGAAAACGCGTGATTTCAAAGTAAAACTTTGTGGGCTGTAAAAATATGTAATAAATCTCTATATATAAAACGTTTTGTCCTAACTGACTGACGGACTGACTGGTTGACTGGCTTATCGACTGACTGATTGGTGATCAACGCTGTCTAAAGTTTGCATATATATGTATGTAATACATACGTCTAATATGTATGCCTGTTTGTACATACATGTATGCATATTATATTTGTATGCATGTTTGTTTATATGCAAAAATACATATATGCACATGTACACACATACATACAAATGTACATACATATATATGTACATACATATGTACATACATACATACATATAAATGTACATAAATGTACATACATATGTATGTACATATACATACATATAAATGTACATACATACATACATATGTATGTACATACATACATATATATGTACATACATACATACATACATATATATATATATATATATACATACATGGATATATATATATATACATACATACATATATATGTACATACATACATTCATATATATATGTACATACATACATACATTCATACATATATATGTACATATGCATACATATATATGTACATACATACATACCTACACACAAAATGACATACATGCATCAATACATACAAACATACACGTACATACGCACACATACATACAAATATACATACAAAAAAAAAAAAACACCAAAAAAAATACTACACTACCAGCTAAGCATGAAAAACTGCAGAGCCTACTAGAATTCTTGAGAATCGAGGAGGAGAGCACTTGGCAGAAATTCGTTTTATTTAAATTTGCAGCACAGCGACAAGAAAGCTTTGACTGCGTTTGGTGTTAAAAAACAAATATGCACGCATACATATATACATAAATGCATGCATACACTAACACACGCCCACACACACACATACATACATACACACATACATATACAAACACACAAATAGACATAGGTGAAAATTTCACACCACCATAACTCAGTCAAATCTCATCCGATTTTCACGAGGTTTGGCTCTTTGTTCATGGTCTGGCCTCCAGATCAATTTGGCATCAAAATCGGGAAACATGTTTCCTGGTCAAAATTCATGAGAAAATGGAACCATTAAATATCCTGTATAGACATAGGCGCCACACATGGAACTTGCTTTTGCAAACTAATATAGTTTGGATGGCCAAATGTGTGCAGATTCTGGGAACTTATTTTTATTATAATTTATATTTTTAACTTGCCAACTTTGGTTTCAGCTACAAACAGAGTTTAATAGATTCGAAACGCAACTCCAAATGCCTTACGCAGCTGCAAAAGGGGATTTCGAATAAAGACAAAGACATGATCTACTCCGGAACTCGTCTGTTTATGTGATGACAGTGGGCGCATTGCGTCCGGTGAATTTGGGCAGCTGCGAGATTTCCAATGCAATGTCAATTAGCGGCTTCAGCATGACGCTGGCCTGGCCCAGCACATTGTCCTTCTCATAGGAGTCGATGTACAAGCTGCCGGCAAAGAAAAAACCAATTTAGTTTTAAATCAAAATAGAATAAATATAAAAACGCACCGCACGGTGGCGCCGGAGCTGCCGGTGCCGCTGAGACGCATCACAATGCGGCTGCCGTCCTCGAAGACAATGCGCAGTCCTTGCTTGGTGGCCACGGACTTGTCCACGGGATCTGTATAGCTGAAGTTGTCCGCCTGCTTGACCTTATAGCTCTTGCCGCCGCTGGCGAAGCTCTTGCCCACAAAATCGGGCGCTGTTATGGTTTTCTCCATGGTGGCCATCATCTCGTTGCAGGGCTCCAGGTCGCACTCCTCGTAGTCGTAGCGCGTGAAATAGTTGCGTCCATAGATGGACCAATGCTGCTTCAGTATATCCTCAATGCTCTTGCCCGTGTGCTGCATGACGGAAATCCAGGCCAGCACCGCCCAGATACCATCCTTCTCTCTAATGTGATTGGAGCCGGTGCCGAAGCTCTCCTCGCCGCACAGACACAGCCGCCCGGCGTCCATGAGATTGCCAAAGTATTTCCAGCCCGTGGGCACCTCAAACACCTCCTTGCCCAGTTTCTTGCCCACCAAATCCACGGCAGAGGCAGTTGGCATGCTGCGTGCAAATCCCTGCACGCCATTCTTCTGGAAATAGGGTATGGCGTCCAGATAGTGAGCGATGACCGCCAAGGAGTCGCTGGGCGTCACAAAGAACGCCTTGCTGCCGATGATCATGTTGCGATCGCCGTCGCCATCGAAGGCAGCGCCAATATCGTAGTCGCCCTTGGCCACCGTTTCCACCAGATCCTTGGCGTACGTCAGATTCGGATCGGGATGCAGTCCACCAAAGTCCGGCAGCGGTGTCGTGTGCACCACCGACACCTCTGCTGCGCCCAAGCGATTCAGAAAAATCTCACGCACATAGGCGCCAGTTACACCATTCATGGAATCGATGCGCATCTTGAGGGGCTTTCCAGTCGACTTGCCGCTAACGAAATCGCGCAGCTTGGCAAAGTCAAAGATCTCCTGCATGAGACGCACATAGTCGGCCACCGAATCAATGACCTCCACCACAAACGGCTTGCCTTCAATATCGAAGCTGCTGACGCCCACCTTGGAGATGTCAATCTGCAGGCCACGCACCAGCTTGTAGCTCTTGATGCCAGTCGTCAGCTGGTGAATGTTGTTGGTAAACGCATCCGGAGCTGGACCACCATTCTCGCAGTTAAACTTGATGCCGAAGTCATTCTCAGGACCGCCAGGATTGTGCGAAGCGGTCAAAACAATGCCACCTAAAAGATTTATTTGAGTTTGAGTGCGTTTATCGTTACTGTAATAAGGATAAGGATATTTCTAGATTATGGAGTATGGGGAAGGTCTTTAAAAAGTCGCATATTCTTGATAGAGCTATACTATATGAGAGCCTAGAGTTCTCGAGGGGATCTTATAATGAAAACATGAAACATTTTATCTGAGTATAATATGAAAGAATATATATAAAAGGATTTCAAATCTCTGGATTTTGTAGATCCCAAGATCTACGCTTTAACACAGACAAACAGAAGGATCGTATATGAGGTCGGATATGATTCCTTTTGCCTATTTGGTACTTTTTTCACAAAGCTGTAAGCTCTTTAACCTAATTTAAATGGCTTTTTACATACAAATTTGGACTAACAGCTGAATCAATATTGAAAGAACTAACATATACTCTCTCGACTAGCTTAAACCTTCCCTTAACATAATGTACATAGATTAGTTTCTATACAGAATGATTAACAAGTTATACAAAAATATATCCGGAATATTTCCAATCAGTTTCCATTTCCAATTCCAATTGGGATTCACGGAATCCGTATTAAGTTCAATACAAATGTTTCCTTTTATCCAAATAGTATTTGCCCACGCGTTGACCTTGAAACCAGCCAAAGACATTCATTAGTAATCGTATTTAAATGTGCTTTTTGTTTTTGCTGGACAAATCTCGATTATCAGTTATTACCTTGCGGATTACAAGCTAGTGTAAATGTTGATTAAATAACGGCACCTACCCAGAGCTTTGTTGTGACGTATCAGGCTAGAGACGGCGGGCGTGGAGAGTATGCCGTTCTGACCCACCAGCAGCTTGGCGACGCCGTTCGCTGCAGCGATGCGGACTATCAGCTCGGCCGCCTCCTTGCAGTAGTAGCGCCCGTCGCCGCCCACAATCAGGGTGGAGCCCGCCAGGGCGGCACCGTTGGCGTCCAGCGTGCACTGGACAAAGTTTTCCGTGTAGTTGGGCTGCGTGAACACTTTGACCTGGAAACAAATTCACAATGGTTGTGTGCCGTATAACTGTTAATTTCGATTGTAACTGACTTTTTTGCGCAGCCCGCTGGTGCCGGGCTTTTGGCCCTCGTAGGGCGTTGTTTGAACCGTTTCCACGCTGAGAGACATGCTTGGGTATATAGTTATCCAGCTGCTGGTTAAATTCCGACTGCGTGCGACCTGGCGGCAGCGCTAACAATTTGTGTGTGTTGAGAAGGAAAAAAAAAACGAACTCAGCTGCTGCGTCGCTGCGCTGATAAGCGTACGCATCGGCTGTAGCGACAGCGATAAGCGCTATCATGCTGACTGCGTGCGAATTTGAACGCAGAGCTGATCGGTACTTTCCAGGAGAACGACATTGTTTCATCATGTATCCAAACAAGTTCCAAAAACAATTGCAAATGTTATGTTTAAACTCGTTTTAGGCCATTTCACAATTGAATGCCATTGTGAACGCATAGGCGGCAGCGTTGCGTGTAGGGTGCCAATGTCATTCAAGGGCATTCACAGATGAATGCCGGCAGCACATTCCAACCACAGGGTATTGTAGAATCTGCTCTCAAATGTTTTCGCAGTAAATATGGCTAATAATTATTGCAACTTAAATATACTAGGAAAAAGTGAATATAGATGATAAATAAATGCTTAAGAACAGCGCGCGCAAACATAAATTCTTGTTAGTTTGTTATTGTTTGGCTGCCAATCAGCTGTGCGACCAGAGCTGTCGCCGTTCAGCTGTCATCGTACTATCGATATATCGATGCCGGCGGCATCGTCGCGAAATGTACTCGCCCGAAGTTTGACAGCCGACAGTTTACACGTCACGAAGCAGCCACGAGAAAGCAGCCGCCGTTGTCGCTAGCCTGCATTTAGTTTAAACCAAATACTCGCAAATAAAATAACTAAATTTCATGTAAGTTGCTCAAAAATAAACTTAGCACCCAGTTTAGTCATTAGAAACTGGTAACTTGTTAGTTTCTTGTTAATTTAAGTAATAAAAGCGTAAACATGTTGCGCCGCTTTCTTTTGACGACCATCAGCCCTTCCACGTCAACAAAAAAATCAAAGTGAAACGTTCAAAACGTTTTTTTTGTATCTTGCAGCATGTTTAGCAAAACGTTAGCCCTGTGCGCCCTGTTCGCTGTGCTCAGCGTCTGCGTGTCCGAGGACGAGACACGCGCTCGCCTGTTGGTTTCCAAGCAGATACTTAACAAATATTTGGTCGAGAAGAGCGATCTCCTGGTGCGCTACACAATCTTCAATGTGGGCAACGGCGCGGCCACAAATGTCCAGCTGGTCGACAACGGCTTCCATCCCGAGGCCTTTGAGGTTGTGGGTGGCCAGCCTGCGGCCACCGTGGAACGCATTGCTCCACAGACGAACTTCACCCATGTGCTGGTGGTGCGTCCCAAGGTCGTTGGCTACTTCAACTTCACCGCCGCCGAGGTGTCCTACAAGCCCGTCGAGGAGGCCGAGACGGTAAATTGTTAAGCTACAAAATGTTTCCACTCATATGCTAATTGGCTTTAAACTGCAGCTCCAATTGGCCATCAGCTCGGAGCCCGGAGAGGGCGGCATTGTCAATCTGAATGAGTACAACAAGCGCTTCTCCTCGCATTGCTTCGATTGGGTGGCCTTTGCCATCATGACGCTGCCATCCCTGGCCATTCCGCTCATCCTGTGGCACTCGTCGAAGAGCAAATACGAGCGCTACGGCAAGAACAAGAAGCATTAGGCCTTGTATTTTGGAAGAACATTTCATAGAGATTTATGCACACGCCCGCTGCAATTCCGTATAACATTGTTGCTTTAATTTCCAATCGTTCCATGCGTTCATCCAACCACACATTTGTATAGTTAATATGATTATGTTGCCGCTCCACTTGGAATTGTAATGGGTCAGGCGAGCCAAGTATAGCGTTAAATCGTTTTAGATTTGATTCGAAGACGCATTTGTAAAATGAGAATTAAAGAAGTCCATTCAAAGTTAAGCTATTTTTTTGTGTGTCATTAGACAAGTTTTCTAAATAAATTTAAATCAAATTTATATGCTAATTCTTAACAATTACGATAACAAATACTTGCGCCCGAATATCTCCGATTTCTTCTCAAACATGGGCGACTTGATGGGCGTGTTGATTCTGTAGAAGGCGTTCATGGAATGCTTAATATACGTATCGTACATTTCGTTGAAGAAATTCTTGATTCCCTCGTCGTTTTTGTTGTCGTGCACAATGATGAAGCGTATCTGGGAGGCGGTGATGAAGGCGGACACGAACCACTGATTGAAGCGATCTATGGACTTGAGCTGCATGTTCGCCGTCTTCCATTTGTGCTCATCCACCAGATCCAGTGCGGCATGCGCTATAAACTGGTTGAGATGCCTGTGATCCTCCTTCTGCAAAGGGCGGAATCATAAGTTGGACACGTCGCGTCCCTTTGTGGCGTATGCACTTACGCGCTGTTCTTTGTTAACGGTGCTGAACTCTTTCTCGAATATGGGATTGTCGTTGTGCCCAACTATAACAAAATAGTACGTGGACATTGTGCACTTTTAAATTAAAAATGAAATAAACAAATTCGGGTTGCAGCTAACTTTTTGCACAGCTGATTTATGCGATTGTCATTATGCATGACTGGGCACACTGTCACAACAGCGTTGCCACCTCGTTAGGATATGAAAGCAAATAAGCTAAAGGCAGGTATGCAGCTTCCAGCTTGTAAGCATATATTCTCTATTTGTAGATCTAACAAACCAATATAAAATGAAATATGCTATTAAATAATTTATAGAATTATGCAATATTAAAAATATATGTTATTATTCTTGTCCATATATATATTATAAACAGCATACGAGATTTCAAAAACGCAAGAGTAATGCGTCTTGCCTTGCTCGCATTTACGAAACAAACGTCAACAGCTGAGTGGCAACTACGTAATATAAATATATATATATATTTAAAATAATAAATCAAATTTGTAGTAAGTAATAAGTCGCCGTTGTTACTCGGATGTGCGTGGCAGCCGTAAAGTGGAGCAGTGCGCTGCTCTAGCGATTACATAATGGCAGCGGCAGCATTGCGACTGAGCGGCATGCTCCAGTTGCAGTTCCAGGCGCTGGCGGCGCATAAAATCGGACTGATGCGCCGCACTTTGAGCACGGAGCTGACAACGGCGCTGCGTCCATTTTACTTTGCCGTGCATCCGGATTTGTTTGGCCAGCATCCGGAACAGCGGCAGACGAACGAGAATTCGCTGAAGCTGCTGAGCGCCCATCTGGAGGCGCTCTACCAGCGCAGCTATCCCAACGAGGATGCCAAGGTGCTCAAGTTCTATGTGCGCGAGAGCGCGGATGCCGAGAAGCGTGACTCGTTTCGCTTGGTTCAGATACGCATGGACCGGAGCACGCGAGATCCCAAGCGCTTCATTCAAGGTCTGCTCGAATCGTGCAATCTATCCACGGACTATATAAAGACCGTGAAGCCTACGGCGCAAGCAAAGCCGCAGGATAGTATGGCCAACAAACCAAGCCAGGACTATCACTACAATGCGGAGTTCCACGAGTTTGAGTCACAGTATCGCAGCGTAATTAATGCCACGATCTCTTCATAATTTCTATATATTAATTCCCTCGTGCTTTACAGGAGGCTACCAGCATACGTCCAGTGCTGTCCAGCTGGCTGGAGGAGAACGCCGCCAAGGCCAGGCAGCGTGCCAAGGACACCGCTGTGCTGGAAGCCGAAATTGACAAGCTCAAGAATGTGCTGGTGCGCGATCTGCAATTGCGTGACGCTCGCTACGAATGCGGCTGGAACATTGAGCATTATCGTGGCTGCCTCAAATCGCTGCAGCGCCTCACCCAGACCCATGCCGCGGTGCTGGAGACGTTGCGCAATCGCGTCGTGGTGTTTGCACCCTTCACGGGCATCAGCCTAGAGGGACATGTGATGCTCTTCACCGGCGATGTGCAGAACAATTGGATTGACTTTATCAAGAACATTCCACAGCACGATGCCTACCTGAATGTGGTGCCTGTGTATGAGCTGACGCTCTCCCAGGTGCTGCGCGGCATACAGATTGGACGTCGCAAGTTTATGCCCAAGCAGCAGGCGCGCGGCTATGCCAACTACCTCATGAAGGTGACGACATCCCTGAACGATTATCTGAGCAAGCAAAAGTATCCCAAGAGCTGGCCCGAATCGCTGCAGAAGTACACAATTGTTGTCGAATCGGAGGCGGGTCCGTTGATGGTCAGTCCGACGGGTCAGTTCATAACGCCGGCCACCTGCCCCGGCAGCATACTGGTCGACTTCATCAGTCAGAATATGCAGCTGGCATGCGAACGCATGTCCAAGTACGAGAAGGACAAACACATCGAACAGCAGCTAATCGAGGAGTCCATTCACAGGCTCAAACTGCAGTCCCTTACCAAGGATGATGCCGTTACGCCCGACAAGATGATATCCGCGCTGAGCGATCTGCGTCTGTGCCAGCCCCAGCATTTCGAGCACATCAAGCTGCATATATCCCATTACTATTCGGTGCTAACCGATGGCATTGTCTGCATACCCTGGGATTTTATGCAAAAGTAGCTAATACTCCTCTCATGTGCCTTACTGACAATAAGCATAATAAATTTAAGACATTATTATTTGTTGTCATATGTAAAAATCTCACATTATGCGAAAATTGTTATTACATTTTGTTTATGTTTGCGTTTCTAATTGCACATGTATATAGAGTGTAGTGTTCTAGAAATTCGTTGTGAAAATTGTAGCGCATTTAAGTAGGTTTTTTGGATCCTATAAAGAATACGTTTCTGTATATATATATATGCTCCATTTAGGTATGAATTTGAATAAAAGAAGGAAAACTAAAGACAAGATCCAATCCGTGTTTAATATTTGGGAAAAAGCTGATAGAACTATCAGAATATTTGTAATCTGCAGGAAGAAGGATAACATTTTTTTTATTTGATTTTCATTTTGCTTTCAATGGGAAATATGTGGGTTAAATAATTGATTTTGTTCCTCGCCTCTCTTAGGACACATCGCTGCAATCCTCAATGCTCCAGGCGCACTCCCGGCGATTGCTGGCAAACTCCTGGGCGTTGCGTGTATAGACATGCTTCTCCTCGCCATCCCAGTGCTGGGGATCACCGCCGCAGAGCACGGAGCGGGCTGTCGCCGCATCGTATAAGGCCACGCCGCCGCCATCCAGCTGTAGGACATGCCACCAGTCGATCGCAGCGCGACTGTAAACGTTCTTTGTAATGTGCTGGCCAGTTGCCGAGTGATTGCTCGGTTCCAGCAGGATGTAGCGATTGCGCCAGTAGGCGCTGTAGAAGGCAAATTGCAGGGTATTGTTGGGGCCGCCGTGTCCGCGCTGCACGTAGTAGGCGGCCTTCTTGGGATCGCGTGCATTGGTGCAGATCAGATAGGTTTGCGGGCACTCGTAGATGTAGGCATTGCCGTCGGTCACGTTGCGCAGGCACACCTTCTGCGCGGTGTACAGGATGCGCTCATCCTCCGGCAGCTGGGCATACACCTGCTGGCGCAGCGTGCCGTCCACGTCCGGCTCAAAGGCGGGCTGCTCCAGCAGCTGGCGCAGATTAGCCTGCAGCGCAGTGCGAGCAGCTGCATCCAGCTGCAGCTCTGTTCGCTGCAACAATTGCAGATTCGCCAGGGTCAGCTGCGTCAGGCTGGCGCTAAAGTTGCCCCAACGCTGCACCACACTCAGCGTGCTTTCCAGCGCCAGCACCAGATCGAACAGCGCCTCCAGTATATCGCGCAAATAGTCCAGCGTGCTCAGGGTGAGCCGCTGCAGCAGAGCGCTGACCAGCGGAAAATTGGCGCTGCGGCTGGCCGTGTGGAAGGGTGCCGCCAGCAGTTGGGCGCTGCGTCCGACAAACGTTTGATATACCTTCGCCAGCAGCGGCGGCGGCACATCGGACAGCGCCGTCAGCTGGCCGTGGAATTCCAACAGCTTGAGCGGATCATAGATTTGCTTGGTCTGCTGCAGCTCCTGCCACAGCGCCTCGTAGATGGCATGCTTCAGCTCCGGCGTGCGCGCCTGGCTGGCCAGCTGCAGCACGAGGCGTGCGCGCTCCCAGTCGCCGTTCACCTCGGCGCGTATAACGGACTCCAGATCAAGCGGTCCCACGGCCGTGCTCAATGGAGCCATTTCTCCGGCCAGCACATCGATGTGCAGCAGCAAGTCCAGCGCCGGCGCGGAGCCGTTCAGAATGGCCAGCAGCTTGCTGTTGTTGTTGCTGCTGGCGCCGCCGAGAGCTAGCCCGAGGAGCAGTACCAGAGAAGCTGCTCCCACTGTCATTGTTAACTGCCTGCCAATTGGCAGGGCGTTCCTCTTATAGCTGCCATTTGGGAGCGGTTTCTATTTGTAGTTCAATCGAATATTTGCATTGGAATTTAATTGTTTGTAATTAAATTGCTTGTAATCTGCAAAGTGCAATAACTATAAAATTTATCCCAATTTCAGAAGTAAACAAAGTGGCGCCAGCTGCCGTGAAAAAAACGTACTACAATTAACGGCCAAAGGGAAATCAAATTTGTTATCGATAAATGTAGTGCACATCTGTCGCAACAGATGGCGCTTGTCGATTAAGCTAACGGCCGTTAGCATTCAAAATATGTAATCGTTAGAGTTTTTTAATAGGCCAAATGGCAACGAAATTGCTTAGAAATAATATCACAAAAAAATACTTAAGCTAATCGAACTATGACAGAAATGCAAGGCTACAATTGTGTATGAGTCGCTTGGTATATCAATACTTCTGGTTATTATTACAACTTGGTGGAGCTGCGCGATTGTATCGAACGCCGCAAAATGCTCGAACGCAGCTCTCCACCCGTGGATGCCTTGAGCGAGGCGCCAGTCTGAGTGCCACGCACAAAGGCCTGGGAACGCACCTCCTCGACATCCGTATTGCACTTGTCGTCCTCATCGTCTAGCTGCTTGGCTAGGCAGGGGAAATCCCAAATGCTCTGGCCGCGTCCGAACTCCTCACCGTCGCTCAGCGTCTGTGGCAGATCGTGATGCAGTGTCTCCGGCAGTAGAAGCGCCAACAGGCCGCCCACAATGCCCAGCAGGCCCAAAATGATGAGCGGCAGCGCCGGCGATATATTGGCCAAGTAGACCACAAAGGGCGCAATAATGCTGGCCACATAGCCCATGATGTGTATGAAGGCAACGCCCTGGGCGCGCACCACCGTCGGCAATATCTCGGCCGCATACTGCAGTCCAATGTTGTAGCTGATGTTCACAAAGAATCGGCCCATGATGGCCAATGTGGCCGAGTACACGCCCACGGGCACCACGGTGGCCAACAGACTGAAGATGCCGCTGGCGACCATCGAGCCGCAGGCCAGCCAACGGCGTCCAAAGCGATCCAGAGTGACGGTGAGCAATGTATCCGCCGGCAGCTCCGTGAAACTGGCCACGGTGAAGGTGAAAAAGATATCCAGACCCAGGGAGCCCACGTTACGCACATGACCATCGAACACAAGCGAAATGGCCATCCAGATGACGATGAGCAGCAGCGTGGTGCGACGCAGCCGCGGCGACTTGAACAGATCCAGCACCGAGTAGCTGGCATTCTGGGCCTGTTCCTGATCCCGCATGCGTCGGCAGCTGTCGCCAAAGTTCTGATACGTTTGCTCCGAGACGTGGCGACCATTGCGCCGCTCCAGCTTGCGGAGTATGGCAATGGCCTTGTCCACCTGGCCCTGGGAGACCAGCCAGCGCGCCGACTCCGGCACAATCAGGGGGGTCAGCACCACCAGCAGCAACGGCGCCGAGGTGATAATGGTCAACAGTTTCCAATCGGCGACAAAGTACGCAATCCAAGGCAGCAAACAGGAGGCGCCCGTAAAGAACAGGGCTATGGACATGTTGGCCACGAACGTACGATACTTGGGACCCACATACTCCAGCACTGCAAGCAACAATATACTCTATTCAAAACAAAAATGCTCAAGGTGAGACGCCGCCGGAGACCTTCGCAGACTTACCCAGTATGTACATCATGGTGAAGCAATTGTCGAAGGCGAAGCCCACAAAGAAACGCATCGTGGCAAACTGCCAGAAGTTGGTCACAAAGGCCGTGGCCACGCCCGCCACCAAGCCCATCAGATTGCAACAGATCAGCGCCGGAATGCGGCCAAACCGATCCGCAATCCAGCCAAACAGCAGCCCACCCACAATTGCGCCCAGAAAGAAGATCGACTGGGCATACGTGGGCAAGGCGGCATCATCGCACACCCAATTCTGTTCTGTCGCCACCGTGGCATAGGGTATTTCCGTGAAATTATATGACCAGCCGCTGCGGCACTTGATCCGCGGCCATTTCGGATCCGCCATTATCTGGCCCTGGGCCAGTACTTCCGTATAGTTGACATCGTACATGTAGCAATTGTTGTACTCCCCGTTCACCATGGGTATCGAGAGCGCCAATCTGTCGGTTGGAATAAGCGAAAGGTGCCACAATTCGGTTGAGTTTCGTTTTTCAAGCTGCAAGTGTCATGAACCCATCAGGGTCGACGCCAGTGCTGGCTATTCAGCCGTTTTCTAGCTAAACTTGACTGTTTTCAAAAGCTGCAGCCCTTAGCTGCGGTTTTGGCTATTTTAAAGCTAATTTAGCGCGTTTTAAATAAGGTTAACTTATAAACAATTATTTTGAGCTGTTTTTTAAAAACTTCAAAAATGTTTAAAAATAATAATTGTCGAAAATTTGATAAAAAGCTAGTTATACGGCCCACAAATATATTTGAACTATGGCCAAAAAACTGTTTGAAATTATGGCAAAATGTTTTTTTTTTCATTTTTAATGTTGACTTGAAACATTTAGAAAATCAAATTAAGTCAACATTTTATTCAAAATTTGTAAAATAAATATATATAATAATTATATATATAAAAAAAATGCTCATATATATAAATTTTTTATATAAGTATAAGACTATATAATTTATATATATACATTTTTTAAAGATTTTAAAATTTCTATTAAACAAGGTTTTTTGGTTGCTAAAAACTAGAGATAAACGGCTAAGAAATAACCCTTCAAGTCTAAAGAAAAACAAGCTAAATTTTAGAAATAATAAAAATAAATAAATAAATAAATAGAAAATAAATAAAATATAAGCAAATATTTTCCTTGTTAAGGAACCCAAGATAATAATAAAGTGGCTAAAAAAAAGGCTAGATTTTTTTGCTTAATGTGATCCAGACTTTAGGCAATGTGTAAACTAACACTAAAACCTTTGGAGTAAATTTATTATTAAACTAAAATTACTCAAAAAATATGAGACAAATTTTGGCCTTTCCAATTGCTTTCAAAGGGAACTGCAAAGAGAACGCAACTCTTTGCTTTTTGGTGTCCCAACCTTGTGCAGCTAAGCCAACTTGTCAATTCAAATTCAGCTCTTTGTTTTAGCTTTTTTTTTTAGCTCTAGCTAGCTTTTCTGCAGGGCAGCACTGATCATGAACCCGCCAGGGTCAGCGGCGCATTGTCTGCCGCAGAACATGACGCAGCCAAGCTCGCCGCCAGAAAGCCAGCATAGACAGCATAATTATCTTGTGATCTTGACAAAATCCGCTGCGCTTGAATCGTGTGTATTTAAGTATCTAAATATATGTCTAAAATTATAGCCAGTCAAGATTGATGATTGTCGGATGGGAGGGCGGGCGATGCTCATGTGTCACGCGGTAACTTGTTTAATTGCCAATTTTATGACGGCACAATTATTTGATTTATAGATTTTTACCCTAGCCCGAAAAGGCATCGAAACACTTTGCCAGACAACTTGACTGGAGCTGGGGCATGGAGAGCATAACATAGCCCATTTTGAATAGGTTTCACTTAAAAGAAACATTTTAAAGCCAACTAGTTGCCCAAACAGAAGCTAAACCCAAGCACGCATCGAACCACCACTTTCTCCAAAAATGATTCAAACTTAGTTTTCAATTTTTAGCTAATAATATCAACAATATTTTCAGTAGAACGGAAACTTATAGATACATGTGATAAACTAGCTTTATACATTTTGGCCGGTAGCTGGTTCAAACCCAACAATATTTTTGTACAACTTTGCAAACATTTTCCGCCTATAAATAATATTATTTCATAAAATTTTTTCACTATTTTACAAACCAGGTTGACGCATTGAACCTGCAGCCTGCAAACTGGTTCGAACCGGCCAAGATTTTTTTGAAGCTAAGAAAATATCGTGCTCTATTGACTTTTGCTAGGCAAACTTCTAATTTCTATGTGCTTGACAGTTTGACAGTTTTTTTAATCAACAATTCAATTAACACCTTTTTTATTTCTTATATAAATACTTGGATTGAGTCGAAATTAGAGCGCTACGTTTCCAGAGTTCAGTTTAATTTACGTAAGATAGAAAGCTCTAAAGCACAATCAAAACTAGTTCGGCAACATGGGATTATCCTTGGTGACTTTTCACAAGAAGGATCAAAAGATTGAAACTTTAGAAAAATGTATTTTTGAGTATTCAATTTTTGGAATGAAGCCAGACTTATCTTAAGATCATATTACAAATATTGAATTCAGGCAAATGGATGTATCTTAATGCGGAGTATTACGCAGTCGGTTACAGCAAACTTGTTGTGCTCAAGCGAGGGTATTTGAGCTTCGGTTTCGGGTTTTTCATTTGAATTTCGCTCACTTTGGAAAATTTGTGGCTCGCCACACAACATTAGTTAGTTAGTCAGTCGGTTAGTTAGTCGTTAGCACTTATTTGCAGCTTGTGTTGTTGCCACGATTATTTCACCTGTGCGTCGCAGCTGACGTCGCTGCCGCTGCGCTGCTGCTGCGCTGCTGCTAATTATGGCCTGGCTAACAGCTTATCTAACTGCCACTGCCACTGCCACTGTTAGGAGTTGTCTTACCCCCTGCCCGCTGCTTGCCCAACTGTAAGGTTCTTTTTGCCTTATTGAGCCGATGTCTGACTGTAAAACCAATCACGGCACAAGGTTACCTCGTCATTCTAAGCCGCAGCACTTAGACGAGTTAATGACTTTGATCAGAACACTCGAATTTGTGTTTCGTTTTTCATTTAGTTTCGAATTGAGTTCGATAATCGTTTTGGCGCTGCCAATAAGTTATTATCGTTTTAGCCCAGAACTTATAGAAATCCATATAATTCTAAATGCCGACACGGCCCAATGTGTGTGGCAAGCCCCTTGATTTCAAGGCGTTGTCGAACTGAAAACGAATTCCGACTGATCGATCGATCAAAAAAAAAAAAACTTTCACAAAAGTTTTGCGGAACCGCATAGTTCGCATTCGCACAATTGCTTCCGCCTGGGCAGCTGAGAATCACGGAGAAAGGCGACGACGGACACTCGAAACATTTGGAGGCAATTTAATTAGCTTTAATTATGAAACAAAAGTTACGAATGTGGCTAAAGTGCAGGCAAGCTTTTAAATTTTTTAACCCTTAGAATAAAGTTCTTTTTTTTAAATCTAAAAAGCCTTAAATTAAGACTCAATCTATGGAATTTCTTACTTTCATTGAAAGCGCTTTAGACCTATTTTAGGTATGCGAGTTCTAGTAATAAGTTTTTTTTCTTCTCCTTTTGTTACATTCATGATTTACGTACTGAACTCAAGGATGATTCATTTAAAAATAAGGTTTCATTCAAGAGCGAAATGTACTTAGAATGTGATCAGCCTAGAATTTAGAACGTGATTTTTCAGTGAATGCTCGAAAAATGTGCTTTAAATTCTTTTACTTCATAAAAAGCGATAATAAAGGCAGCTTTGCGAGTAAAGTAATCTATTTAAATGTTAAATATACAGGAAACTTCAGCCCAGTTTTGGGTCTTAGGTATTATCTGCATATATTCAAGGTCATTTTCGACTTAATACCTTAATAATTGTATAGAAAAATATGTGTTTAACATCAGCTACTTTGTCTAAGATCTAGTATACATTTCCTAGAACTTAAACTTAAGCCGATTGCTTCTAACGGCTTCTACAATATCTTCGAGCTACTTTAAATTAAGCTATTAGGTCTGTCACAATCGCTCGAGTATGTTTAACATAACAATAAAACATGAATGAAACTAACGAAAATCATAAAATTATGAGCATTTAAATGGATTGCAAACGGCATTCCAATTAGTTAGTGCTAGAAATCTAGTTACTGATCTCAAATGTCTTAAGTAACTAGTTAGCCAGTTTTATAAAGACCAGCTGCAGCTGACTTACACAGTGAGAAAAACTGCAAACTCAAGAATATTCGTTATTCCTCAATAAGGAATGCTTCAGCCTGAATAAGAAACAAATTCTTGGATTGAGTAAAATTTGTACAGTATTTCAGACAAGCGATCAATGTGCTTAGTTCTTGAATCAAGTAAAAATTGATTTAATTTAATTTAATAAAGATTTCTTAAGTTCAAGTTAGGCAACAAGTTCTTGAGTTAAGTAAAATTTGGTAAGAATTCCAGACAGGCTTAGATTAAGTAACAAAGTTCTTGAATCAAGTACAAATTAATTTAATTTATTTCAATAAGACATTTTAAAGCCCGAATTAAGAAACAATTCTCGAATGACTTTCAGACAAATTCTCAGTGTGCTTAGCTTAAGTATCAAAACTCTTAAATCAAGTTCAAAAATTAATTTAAAGTTATACGTGTGATAAATTTAGCGCTTTTTATGAGCATAATTGGGCTTAATTGAAGTTTCTTCGCACTTCAAATTTCATATTTTAAATAAGAGTTTTATATTTGAAACCAGTTTTACTTAATTTAAGTACTTCACTTTTAATTTCTTTTCTCTGTGTAATCTTGGCCATAAAAACCAAATTTGCCTTGGCGGGAAAACCCGCTCATGAGTCACGCAGACACAAAAAACCATAACACACCCAGCAAAAGAACTCGAGTTGGCTTTTGGATAGCTTACCTGGCCTCCACATCGAGTGCATCCAGTTCGGGCACATGGCACCAGTGCTGCTCCGGTATGAGCGTGAGAAAGATTTGTGAGAAGTACACGAAGGCCACAAAGAACGAGAATGGGATCATGCAGATGAACAATATCTTTTGATAGCGACCAAATTCGCCAATCAATGGCAGAAGGTCATCAAAGTCGATTGTGGGCGCAATAGGCGTGGCTGGCAGCTCTTTGCCCTTTTTGTTAGACATATCCAATTGGAGCTCCTTGTTGTTGCCGCCGCTGCGACGACGCGGCAAATTGTCGACGACTCCTCCTCCTGCTCCTCCTCCGCCGCCGCCATCGACCGCTCCATGCGGCTTCTCTTCGTGATTATATGCTTCATTGACGAAGTATGCTTGCTTGGCCTGACCTTCCATGCTCGCTGACCTTGCTGAATCTGTGTCACTTGTGTGTGAATTGTAAGCACAAGAGCTGGCCGGTTGGTTACAAAAGAAATTCACTTGGCTTGTAATCAAAGTGCGCCAGACAAAAAATAACCAAAGACACGAACTCGAGAGCTTGCGGCGCACGCGCGCGTTTCCGTTAACGTTCTGCAACTGAACTGAGCACGCGCACCGGATGGCGTTTTTATATCAGACCGAAAATCCGCCAAAAACAAATAACAACAAAAAAAAAAAAATCCCAAAGCCAAGAGCCGAGCTCGGATCCAAGTCGAGAGCCGCCGGCCGAGAGCTTCGTTAGCGCTGCACTTGTCGTTAAGAACAAGAAATGGCAATGCCGGCAGCGAAAGTTGAACAGCTGTGTTTGTGACCAGCCGCCCAGCTGGTAAACCGGTCCGATCCTAAGCGTTATATGATCTTGATCAGCTCGTGGCGATGGTCGCTTCGCTGCCTTTGATAATATACATACATATTTTTAGCCCAAAACGCTCCCCCAGCTGTTCGGCCCGTGAATCATGTTGAAAACGCGTCCGAATTTGCATTAAAGACCAAAAACTCACAATCACACGAGCACACCAAAACGTCAGAGGAGCCCATTCATAATGCTCGTATAAGATGCGGGGGATTAACCCCTATTGGCGCAGCTGCCATAGTCGACTGACTCACAGCCTCCTCATCGAAATCCCACCACCCAAAAATAAAAGCTAACTGAAATCAATATTATTAACAAGAAAAAAAAATTGATATTTATGTTATTCAGAATTGTGTTGTTCAGATATCGCATACGTTTGCATAATTTGTGGTATCTGGGGCTATCTGGTAACTGATGTTTACCCAACTTATTATGCGGAACATCTAAAACATGTTTTCTTATACAGAACAGATTGAAAATGATTTTAAACGGAGTTTATAAGCGTAATAGGTAGCTTTACTTACTTAGATATAGATATAGATATAGATATAGATATAGATATAGATATAGATATAGATATAGATATAGATATAGATATAGATATAGATATAGATATAGATATAGATATAGATATAGATATAGATAGATATAGATATAGATATAGATATAGATATAGATATAGATATAGATATAGATATAGATATAGATATAGATATAGATATAGATATAGATATAGATATAGATATAGATATAGATATAGATATAGATATAGATATAGATATAGATATAGATATAGATATAGATATAGATATAGATATAGATATAGATATAGATATAGATATAGATATAGATATAGATATAGATATAGATATAGATATAGATATAGATATAGATATAGATATTGATTGGATTACAGGGCATTTGCTAGTCGTGCACTCCCGACTAGCCCACTCTTACTTGTTTTTCGTTCTTATTATAAGTGCGAAAGTTGTTAAACGCAGCTCTAAATCCAGTTAAAGCCAGTTCTAGTAAAGCCTTTTTTATTTTTATTTTATTTTAATATATTTTATTTCTTTTTTATTTTTTTTTTAGTTACAATTCGCTAGTTCTACGCGCGATTAATGTTTTAATTAGCACCGTTTGCGGCGCGGCCCAAGGACAATAACATTTTGCTTGCGTCTCGGTCTCGGTCTCAAATGGGTTCATAGCACCCCGCACTTGAATAGAATCGAGTTTGAGTTGTGATCGAGATTGAGATACAAATCGCATCGTTTGGCTAATTTGATTTGGTTTCATGCGTTTGTCTGTGGGCAGGTGTCATTTGATATATTTGCTTTGAACATTTTTAGAAAGTTCATAATACGCTTTTATTTTAACAGATCTCGTAATTATCCGGCTAATTATCGATTAAATATGTGACGGCTAATTCGTGTCCAGGAAAAATGTCAGCAATTAGGGCCAAAAAACAGCTGTTTTTATATTGAATGTGCAATTTATTTAAGGCTTGCCTTAAATTTATGATTAACCATTTTGCGTTTGACACAATTTATTAGGCTTCGTGAGCTCTTAAATACGCAGCTCCTTGCACATTTTTCTTTTTATTTATTTATAATTATATTTTTAGTAAGGAATTCAAGAGTGTGTCGCTTTTTTTTTTATATTTATTATTGCATTTTTAAGAAAATTAATATTTATTTTTACTAAACATTTTTAATGTAAAAAATAAGTATTATTATAATATATTTTGCACAGAAAATTATTTGTTTTTAATTATTGAACACAAAATCTTGTTTTTCAAAAGGGTTTTCTGTAGCTTTATGGCTTTAATAATTATTAATCCCAAGAATGAAAATATTATTACGAAATATCAAATATTTTTATTACTATGAAATAACTTAGATAATTGTTGATCTCAAGAATTAAAACATTATTTTGGAATATTAATTATTTATTAATTATTATTATATAATATTAAATATAAGAATTAATTAAAAGAATTGTTGATCCCAAGAATTAATATCGTATAACGGAATATCATAATAAATAGTATAAATAAGGGTTAGGCTTAATTAATAAATAATTAATACATTTAATGCTTAATTAATAAATAATTAATTCATTTAATAGCTCATGAATATATATCAGATATTTTGTACTTTCTTAACTTTCTATTAAATCCTTTTAGCTTTAATTAACATTATATCATTTTTTGACTTTGACTTTTTATAGAGCATAGCCCAGTCGTCTAGAGTTCTGTCTTTCTTTTCTCTGTACTTAGATGAATTCAACCTTCAAATGAATAAATAAATATTATTTCAATAAAATCATTTCCGTTTTAATTCTTGGGCTTGCATAGTTGCTTATTATTATTGTTAATATTGTTTTTTTTTTTCTTTTATACGCCAGCATAATTATAGTTATGTGTGTGTATATGAGCTATAATGAGTTAACAGCAAAAACGGTTTAATTAAATGTGCATTAAATTTAAGTGCTAGGAAGTGAGCGCATCTGAATGTGCGAATGTTCATAATGAATATCATAATGTCTCTATAGTTGGGTGCACTGCTAATTAATAGAATATTTACTTCAAATGGATTTATGCACAATTTATCTCAAATGAAACTTACAATAATATGCTAAGCATATGGGATTAATTTGATTATTAACAATGTAATTAAATTAAATTTAATTTAATTTTCCATTCAAGCACTTAGCACTTTGCGAATTTAACAAACAAAAAGGTTCAAACATGTCGTCAAAATGAATTGGAACATTTTGATAACCAATATTTAATTGTTCGAGTTATTTAACCAGCGTAAAAACCATTAAGCCATATCTCTGATCATTTGTTCTTGACCCAAGGAAAATGATAAGCCTATGAAAAAACCATAAATAGGCTCCCGAGGAAAACCCCAGGTGTATAGACGTGGCTGATTAGATAGATAAGCCATTGTCCAAGATGAAAGCTAACCCCGTTTAGCTATAAAAGAGTTAAACCTTGTCCAAGAAGCTTCAGTTGAAATCGCCATGAAGTTCATTTGTGCATCAGTACTAGTTCTATCCGCCGTACTCGGCACCAATGCCGTGGACTGGCAGTCCTTGAAATCGCTGGACATTGAGCCCAAAGTGCCTATGATCCGTCGTCATAATGCGCCCGCTGGACGTATTACGAGGGGCGAAACCGCTGCACGCAATCAGTTCCCCTACCAGGCGGGTCTTATGCTCTACACTCCCGAAGGTGCTGCCTGGTGCGGAGGTACCCTGATCAGCACCCGACATGTGGTTACCGCCGCTCACTGCACGGACAATCTGACCTCTGGTGTGGATGTCTATCTGGGCGCCTGGGATCGCACCAACGCGAAGGAGGAGGGCCAGCAGATCATCTTTGTGGAGACAAAGTACGTGACTGTTCATGAGAACTGGGACGCCACCACGCTCAGCAATGACATTTCCGTCATTAAGCTGCCCGTGCCCATTGAGTTCAACCAGTTCATCCAGCCCGCCAAGCTGCCCGTCAAGTCCGACAACTACGAAAACTACGCTGGGGAACAGGCTGTTGCCTCCGGCTGGGGCAAGGTCTCCGACTGTAAGTTTTGAGTGGAGCCCGCTTGGCGAACCTCAACTAATCATGGATTCTTTTTGCAGCCGAGAGAGGAGCTACCAACATTTTGCAATACATTTATGTTCCCATCATGAGGAACGCGGGCTGCTCTCCCTGGTTCGTCGGCTCTGTGACCAGCACCAACATCTGCATCAAGACAACCGGCGGCATTTCCACCTGCAACGGCGACTCTGGTGGTCCTTTGGTGCTTGCCGATGGCAGCAACACCTTGATTGGCGCGACTTCCTACGGCATTGCCCTTGGCTGCGAGTTTGGCTGGCCAGGTGTCTTCACCCGCATCACCTCCTATCTGGACTGGATCGAGGAGCACACCGGCGTGGTTAACAAGGGTCTATAAATTTTGCTTTCGTGTAAAATAAGGCCTTAAAAATGATTGCGGAAGCGCAGTCGAAATATATTGATTCAAAAGCAAAAAAATACCTTTTATTTACTTTAAACTTTGACATATTTTCAGCTGAAGGTATGCAAAGACAGACGAACTTGTAAGTCTGAAGGTGGAATCCCAGATCTTCTTCGACTGCTTTCAGGTTTGGGAGTCGTCTGGCTACGCAAAGCGGAGTCCACTCAACTATTTTTTTGAAGACCGTGAGCACTTACTGCTCATCGAGCGTGTGAGCCCGCATTAATCCTACATAACCTGGTGTAGTACTTCCATCCCATATTGGGCAAGGGCTACACTAATTTCACATAAGCCCAATGAGTGAACGGAGGCTACTTTATTGAAGACCGTGATCACTTACTACTGCCCCGTCCAGACCAAACCCAATGGGTGAACGGAGGCTATCCTCTCCGGCCGCTCCCTCTGACTCTCATCTCCTCTTTAAGGTAGGAAGCCGAGTGGAAGACGGGGTCATCGCAGTAAAACGTAGTCACAGAAAGTCCTTAAGACTTGCAATTCGTAGCAGTGGCTGCCAAGTGAAGGTGAGTGTAATCCAGCGAACCACCCTCAAAAGTTTCCCATTCGATAATGGGCACAAGAAATATATGAGTTTATTCCAAGCAGAGATCAAGTCTCTTAAGTCGAACTGCCGGAAATCCTATTACCTATTATTTGCTTATTACCCTAATTGAGTTTATTTGCTCTTGACCCAAACCGATTGATAAACTTATCAAGAAACCTTTAAATTCATGATTAAAGCTACGCACAGAACGAATTCCAGACAAAGACGTGGTACCGATCGGACAGCACACGCCCTGCTATTTTTATCGCCGACTGGAATAATCAATGGATTACCACTAGAAATAACAGCAATCAGTTTTTAATCGTAAATCAAAAGTGTTTACGAGCCCGATTAGAGATAAGCGATTGCCCAAGATATATGGTAGCCCCGTTTAACATTCCGGCTATAAAAGCGTGTCCAGCTGCCCAATTAGCTTCAGTTCTAATCAAAATGAAATTCGTTTGCGCATCGGTGCTGCTCCTGGCCGCCATTCTGGGCGCCCATGCCGTGGATTGGCAATCCCTGAAATCGCTGGAAATTGAGCCCAAGCTGCCCATGATCCGTCGCCATAATGCGCCTGCAGGACGTATTACCAGCGGTCAGGATGCTGCTCGCAATCAGTTCCCCTACCAGGCGGGTCTCTTGCTGTACGTGGCCGGAGGCGCTGCCTGGTGCGGTGGAACCTTGATCAGCAACCGGTATGTGGTTACCGCGGCTCACTGCACGGACAGCCTGACCACCGGTGTGGATGTCTATCTGGGCGCCTGGGATCGCACCAACGCGAAGGAGGAGGGCCAGCAGATCATCTTTGTGGAGACAAAGTACGTGACTGTTCATGAGAACTGGGACGCCACCACGCTCAGCAATGACATTTCCGTCATTAAGCTGCCCGTGCCCATTGAGTTTAACGAGAACATTCAGCCCGCCAAGCTGCCAGCCAAGTCCAACACCTACAACACCTACGCCGGCGAACAGGCTATTGCCTCCGGCTGGGGCAAGATCTCCGACTGTAAGTTCCGGCTGGGAACCACAATTGACCATCAGTTAATTATCTTGTTTTATTATAGCCGCGACGGCCGTCCACGACATCCTGCAGTACATTACTGTGCCCATCATGAGCAACTCCGGCTGCTCTCCCTGGTACGTCGGTGCTGTGTCCAGCACCAACATCTGCATCAAGACAACCGGCGGCACTTCCACCTGCAACGGTGACTCTGGTGGTCCGTTGGTGCTTGCCGATGACAGCAACACCTTGATTGGTGCCACCTCCTTTGGTATTGCTCTGGGCTGCGAGGTTGGCTGGCCAGGTGTCTTCACCCGCATCACCTCTTATGTGGACTGGATCGAGGAGCACACCGGCGTGGTTAACAACGGCGTCTAAATGTTGCTTAGCATAAAATAAAAAGAATTTAAATGCATAGTCCTACTTGGTCCCATTATAATTTCTCTAAAGCTTCAGATAAGGTCCTTACTCGCGCTACTAATTAAAAGAATTACTAATACGGATTTATTTAAGACCCTTTTTTTCAACAATGGAATATAATCTGTGATCTATTGTGAAGGAGGCAATTAGGAAAGTTTTTTAAATGTCTTGATCGAAGCCAACCGAGCCAGCTTATGTGAAAACCTTAGGATTACAAGTTTAAAGGTTCTTTTAAAGAAAATGCCAGGCATAGTAGGAATTAGTAGGAGAAGCAGCAATATGTCTGATTAGAATAGTCTGATTAGATATGCGCGATATTCCAAGATATATGGGAAGCTAATTGGGTCGGTTTATTGAGGTTTGCATAAGGTTTGTGAGTCGAGGTGCTCTGCAAGGTGGGTCCTCTCACCTATTTTATGGAAGGAAGCGAGCGATGAAAAGCTATCGCATTTTCCACTTGAGAAATTCCACAATATACATTATCCAATTGGACGAGTTCTTCTGGCTGCTGATGCAGTCCTTCAATCCCTGACATTCCATTTTGTGCATTGGGTATACTTATTTTTCATCAACCTCACGCTATCCTCTCCGGCCACTCCGTCTCTCTCTGTCATCTCCTACAGAGAAAACTGGAAATTTATTCCTTTTGGATCCATTAGACTTCCTGACATCTCTAAGGTGGACAACCGGGAATAATACAATGGCAATAAGCAAAACATATTTCAGCTTAAAGTAAAAGTTTATTTTGTTGAAGCTACAAGAAATAAAAGTCGTGTTTGGATTTGGAATGTGGCCGTCGGCTGACAGCCTTGGACGTGTCCTCGTCGGACAGTGGGTGGTGCACGTCCAGTTCGTCGGGCACATCATCGTCCGGCTGGTGGTCGGTTCGCAGTTTGCGCTTTTGGTGCTCCTTGCCGTAGTTCTTGATATACTGATCAAAGAAAATGGCCTCCGTGGTGTCCTGGTGCGAGTGCACGCCCGTCTCATCGCTAATCCAGTCCAGGTACGAGGCAACCTTGGTAAAGGCCGCAGGATAGCCACGATCGCAGCCATAGATGCTGCCGAACGAGGTGATGCCCACCAGGACGCGCTTCTTGGAGTGACGCCGCTGCAGCACCAGCGGCCCACCAGAGTCGCCATTGCAGGTGGATCGAGCGTTCCGACCGCTCGTACAGATGTTCGTGCCGCGAAAGGACAACGGAAAATTGCGCTTACAGGTGCGATCGTCGATGATCTGGAGCTGCACATAGCGCAGCACATTGCTAATCGCATGTACGCCCGTGGCATAGCGGCCCCAGCCGGAGGCGATGCCCAGCTTGTTCTTGAAGTTGCGGTACTCATAGTGCCGCTTGGGCAATTGTATGGGATGGATGCGTTCTGGAAGAGACAGCGGAATGAGCTGCCCATCGAGCTAGCTGGGCTCGCGACTCACCATTGAAGCTGACCGCGTGCGGCAGTCGTACCAGCGCAATGTCATCCTTCAGACGCTTGGGATTCCAGGTGGGATAGATGTGAAAATTGCTGCTGGGCACCATAAGACGCACCTGACCCGACTCCTTGGCGTTCTTGATCTCATTGGCGCCCAGAAAGACCAAAGCACGCTTGGCCCTATGATTGGGAATATGAGTTTAGTTTTTTAATTCAATTCGGCCTTTGTTTACGGTCTGCCTACATGTCCACGCAATGGGCGGCTGTCAGCACATGCTGATCCGAGATTAGGGAACCACCGCACCAGTATAGACCCTTGGGACGCTGCAGGAGCATGCCCACCTGATAGGGAAAACAATGTGGATTGCCCACATCGCCGCCGAAGATGCGATCCATGGCCATCGCACCCTCCGGCAGCATGCTGTCCAGCAGTGGCGTCGTCTCCAGGTTCAATACCAATGGCTCTGGCTCCGCGGCGACGGCGTCGGCGTCGGCAGCGCTGTCGCTAATGCGGCTCTCGTCGTTGCTGGCGCTCATTTCCGCGTCCAGTTCGGCGGACAGCGAGGTGGCGGTTGGTGTCTGGGACAAGGCCATGCCGAACGGGCCCGGATACATGGACACTAAATACATTGGCTTAACCTGTTGCCAGTCCAGAGCCTCAACATGTAGCAGCGACAGCGACAGCGCAGCGACGCAGGCCAGCAGCAGCCTGCGCGCTGTCAATGTGGCAATAATTGAAACACTTGCCGATTGTAAAAACATTTGTGTTGCTTTTTCTTGCTGCTGCTTGTTGGCACACGCATTTAATTTTTAATTTAAACTTAATTAACACACACACACATACGCACACGCAGTCACATACACACGCACACACACACGCACACAGCTTCCTTTTTAATTTAAACTCGTTGCAGCAGAGATTTACGTTTCCCGTCTAGTTTGAAAAGCCGTTGCGACTGCCACGGCGGGCGCGTAAATTTCTTCTTGTTGTTGTTGTTGTTGACTTTCGTTGGACTTGGACTGTCGGTGTGTCGGTCAGCGTCTCGCTTACAACTGTGGCGGCGCGCGCATGTTGCAAGCATTTTTATAAACTCTTTTGTTACAACAAAAGCCTTGTAAGCCCACTTTAATTATTTCGTCTATTTTGCTGCATTAATTTGACGTCGCTGTCGACAGCGACAGCGACAGCGACGTCGCCGCCAATTGCATTAATTTCGATTCGCAATTTGGCTCTTTCATATTTGCATGCACGCTCTCTTTGCGCTCTTCTCTGCCACCCACTCGCTCTCACCGCTCTCATTCTCTCACTTGATCTTCCCCCTCTCTGTTACGCCTGCGCTTTTGTCGCATTTCTTTTCGACCTTTGATTCGCCCAAAATGACGCTGCCCTTTGGCGCCGGTTTTCGTTTAGTGTGTGTACGTTATTCGCGTAGTGCGTGTGCTAGCAAAATTTTGGTTAGCGTTGTCGTCGGTTCGCGGTCCGTTGTTGTTTTTACCATTTAAATTTATAAAGCCAACATAACTGTAACTCTAGTTACTTATCCTCTACTTGCTTTGGTGCTATTACATCACGCGTGTGTATAAGTTTCTGTCGTCGCGTGTGTGTGTTCGTGTGTGTGTGTTCGTGTGAGTGTTTATTGTAGGCTGTGTAATGCGCAGCATGCGGCAAAATGCTTTCATTCAGAAAAAAAACATGTACATATGAAGTTGTTGCTATTGTCGACGTCAATGGTAAGTGAAACAAAAAGCATTACACGATACATTTGTCTTTTGCATTGTTTAGCCCCCGCCAGCCCCTGCTACTGTCCCGTTAACCAGTGCATACCGCAAGCACTGATTACATGCATATTACGAGCCAAACAGTGGGCAGTGCTTCGTTAATTTAGCTGCAATTCGCATGAACTAGCAAGCCCTACATTTTTGACGCTGTGCTGCTCCACTGTGCGGCAACATCTTCTTATTATTTTTCTTCTTTTTGCCATTTGCCAAGGTTATTGCCAGGGCACCGTGCAGTCGTAGGCAAATTAACGGCATTGCTGCATTCGTTGCATGCGGCAAGCTGAAGAATTTTCCTAGCAGGAAATCAAAAAATAATACACCCACCCCTGCTTCACACTTCTCATGCTAACCTGTTGCATGTATTTATAATTAAATTAATTCGTTGAAATAACTTGAATTTGGTGTTGAAAGTATTTCTTGGTTTGCTGTTATTGTTTTTGTCGATTTAGGAAATTACTGTGCGGCTCATTTTGCCTGCCTAGCCAAGCAAATAAATCAAATCGTCTCGCGATCGGTGATATGTTCGAATGTAATGAGGCTACAACAACAATAAACAATCAGCACCAACTCCAGCAGCAATAACAACAACAACAACAACAACAGCAGCAGCAGCGGTTGGTGGCGTCGATTATGCAAATGTTTGCACCCCTCGTTTTGGTCCGCCTTTTCGCGGCTACCGTTTGTTTGCTGTGCTGCTTACTTACTTTATACTCTTACAGTGGCTAGGCATATCGCTTATGCATGCCATTCGCTACTTAATTACAAATGTGGCTTGTACTATTGTACATATTATGCTACTATTACTAAAATTCACAGATTCTTGCAACTAAGGAAATGAGTTTTCCTTTAAATACTACAAAATATATTTGAGAAAATATCCAAAGACTGAAAATTACATTTATTAAATTGTTGTATAGTATAGTCTTTTTGTAAAAGAAAAGCGATTTATATACACGAAAATGCTATTTAAAAGGGGTAAGGTATAGGGAAACAAAATACTTGACTATCCGCTAGCTGCACTGCAGTAAAAAATACTTTAGAAGTTTAACAAAAACTTTTCTTATTAAACAAATTTACAATTTTTATTTTATTTTAAACTGAATTTTGAGCTGGGTGTGCGTTTTTCCCTTAATAATAAACACAAAAAGTGAGCACTTCGTCTAATAAGAGAACTAGACATTAAAAAAGAACGTTAGCAATTGCTGTGAGGTTTTCTATTAACCAAAGTCTTTCTTGACGTCTTTTGCCGCACAAGCTTGTTGGCAATTATAAGGAGTTAAGGGACGAACAACTGATAAAAGCTGATAACTCTAGAGTACATTTTCTGTGTGCTTAATAAATTTAAATAAATACAAAATAGATTAATTTTGCATAATCAATTAATGAAATTGAATTTTACATGATGTTCAATAAGAATCTACAAAATGTGTAAATGTGCGACTCGGATAATTTCGAATCGAAATAATTTCACTTAGAAGTCAACATTAAATGTTAGAGCATAGAACAGTCGATGTGTGGCATATTTAGGCGTATTTCTTTGCTTGTTGTGTTTCTCTGCTTCGTTTGAATTTCGTGCTGTGCGTCGATATTTAATGCATAATCGCGAATTATGATTATCGGCTCTTGCATGTTGTGTGCACGTATGTATGTGTGTGTGTGTATGTGTATACATATTTATTAATAATAATAATAAGCAGATTGTTTTATTTTATTGCACTTGCTAATGCATTTGCCGTTACTCAATTTAGCACCACGATCGCACTATTTACCAACTGTTTAGTATTAGTATTAGTTTAATATAAACTTTGCGTTTTTTATTCAATGCTTTTTATTCATATGTATGTGTATTTGTTTTGCTCTTGTGCCAGCGGTAAATGTGAGTACAATTTACGCAGTTCCTAGTCCTTGCAAAAATTGTGAATGTGAGAAATGTGATACATTTACAGTTTTGGTACAATTTTGCGAGACTTGATCAGCATCGCATTCTGCTTCTTGCTTTAATTAAATAAACTACCTGAACATAAATAAGATTTGTGGCACTCGACGCCAAATGATTAAATTATTTTCACGCTCGACAGCAACTTCCTATAACTAGCTTAGATTTAAAATCTTATGTAAGACTTGCTAAATTGGTATCAGTGCAATTCGACGGGCGGGAGTTTGGCCACCTGCTCCTCCTCCTGCTCCACCTTTATGTCGAATCGTTTTTCAGTCTCGGCCAGCTTGATTGGGGCTGGTGCGGCTACTCGAATGCCGGCGTGTGCCGCGCCAGCTGCATGTCATCCATGAATGCGTTGACGGTCGGTTTGAACTCCATGCTGCCGCTGGTGGGCGGCTCCTCGTCGCCATCGAACATGGCGCTGTCGAGACTCTTGTTGAGACGATCATGGAACTCGGTCATTGAGATCTTTTTCAGAGCAAATCTCTTGCCAAAGGTCTTCTTCACCTTCAAGCGCCGTTTCTTGATCAGATTCTTGTTCTTGTTGAGGCCATCGTTGAAGGAGATAGCGCGACGCATCTTGCGCGCACCAAACTTGACCAAACGCACCTGGCTGGTGATGGCGGCGCACTCCTCGCTGTCATCCTCCACATCGGCCGCATTCTCATCGCTGGGCTCCTCGAATATCGTCTCCAGATTGGCGGGCGTAAACTTCTTCATACGTTTGCTTGTATAGATTTTCTCGATGCTGCGCAGCATCTGCTCGTTGGTCTGCAGCTCCTTGCGCTTCTTTTTCACCTCGGTGCGCATTATGGCGCTGCAGACCCGATTGAAATTGTCCTTGGAGGCGCGGGCGGGCATGCGTCGGCGGGTGGCAGCGACGCCGCCGCGACGACCATTGCGATAGCTGCTGTTGCTGCTGCTGCTGCTGCTGTGGGCATCGCTGTCGTCGTTGTCTTCGCCGCGGCTTTGCTGCGAATCTATTTCGTCCGATTGATCGGTGTCAGCACTTTCCGAGTCTAGCATTGCATCGGATGCATTTGTTGTTGCCGTCGCCGTCGTCGCTGCCGTCGCCGCCATTGGTTTCAGATTCCAGGAGAATTTGCTCGCGGCGCTGTGGAATGGTGCAGTGCTGAAAAGTATTTTTTTTTTGTTGCTTTTTGTAGTTTTGCTTGCGCTGGTTTTCGTCGTTTTCGCTGACTTACCGATTCTCTGTTAACACAACCTCTTTTGGCTGAAAACTTATCTTCGCGAATTTGTGCACAATGTTTTCCATTATTCGATTTGTAACATGCTGTTTTGTTTTAAGATTTATACTGCTTTTTTATCGCTCTGTTTTGTTATTTACACTTTTTTTCGTTGTCAAAGAGGAAGAGAACGAAATATCAAGCGCAAATGTTATTTAACATAACAGCCGGAACGCAATACACATCGCTTAAGCTAAGCTGTTATTAACAGTGCGCTTTGATTCAATTATTTGAAAACTATCGATACTTTTTTTTTTCAATGTGTACACACATTGTTCTCCAACAGATGGCGCTATTAAATGGCGCCAATTAAATTTCAAACAAAATGTGGTGCTGAATATTCCGTTAATTAGAAAAAATTTTACTAAATGTATTTTAATGCAATGTGATTTGTAAAATGTTTTTCTGTTGCATTGTTTAATGTAATTGGCTCTGCGAAAATTTATTTTGCATATTAATACTTTATTCATATTAGTTTAAAACAAATTTATATCGCTTAAAAAAAAATTAATTAAATAAGTTGGATTTTCCCATTTAAAATTTCACTTTTACTTGATTGGTGCTCGCGATTATTGGTGGTCAGACAATCTTTTTATTGAGTGCTTGCCAAAATATAAGATAAGCTGAAAAATTGAAATGGGGATTGTGCAATGGTCATTGGCTTATCTATCCATGTTTATAAGTGTGCGCATATCCGGATACGTTTCTTGTACAAGTGGGTTACCTATAAAAGACCCTTCCTCAATTGAATCTGTATGAGTTCATCGTAAAACATGAAAGTATTCATTCTGTTGGCTTTGGCGCTATCCGCCGTCTCTGCGGAGTTCTTGAAACAAGAACATCCCAAGGACTTTCCCAGATCGGTCAAGATCGAGGGACGTATCACCAATGGCTATCCAGCCTACGAGGGCAAGGCACCTTACGCCGTTGGCCTGAGCTTCAATGGCTGGTGGTGCGGTGGTTCCATCATTGCTCACGACTGGGTGCTGACTGCTGCTCACTGCACCAACGGTGCCAGCTCTGTGACCATCTACTACGGTGCCACCTGGCGCACAAACGCCCAGTTCACCCACACTGTTGGCAGCGGCGAGTTCAGACAGAATAACAAATGGCCCAATGAGAACGGCAATGACATCGCTCTGATCAAAACTCCCCATGTCGATTTCTGGAGCATGGTCAACAAGGTGGAGCTGCCCAGCTTCAACGACCGCTACAACATGTACGATGGCTCCTGGGCTGTTGCCTGCGGCTGGGGCATTACCTCCGATGGTGGCTCTCAACCAGACTGGCTGCAGTGCGTCGATCTGCAAATCATCAGCAACAACCAGTGCTCTCAGAGCTATGGAAGTCTCCCTGATGGAATCCTCTGTGTTTCCACACCCGACGGCAAGTCCACCTGCAGTGGTGATTCTGGTGGCCCCTTGGTTCTCCATGATGGTGGTAGACTGGTCGGTGTTACCTCTTTCGGTAGCAGTGCTGGTTGCACATCTGGCGCCCCAGCTGGATTCACTCGTGTCACCAATCAGCTGGATTGGATTCGCGACAACTCTGGCGTTGCTTACTACTAAACTTTCTAATAAATGATTTAACGAGCAAAAAATTGTGTTTTGATAAGGGTGGAACAGTCAAAGTTTCAATTTACTGATCACTTCTTCTAAAGTTCAAACAACAATTTTTTCGTCTCGCTGGCCCTCGCCATTTTAATAGCGAAACCATATATCTTCCGTAGTTTCAGAGCTACGGTAGAAAAATTTGGTATGATCACCGATGAGGACCCCTGATCAGCTTATCTTCATGCAGTTGGTGTTGTCAATCACATGTCCGTTGTTTGAAGAGGTTTCTCAATTCATGCAAGGCCAATTGGACACACTCAACGAATGGCAGTGGAGATGGAACATCATGTTGAACAACGAAAAGTCCACAGCCACCACTTTCTCTCTTAGGCTTGGTAACGGCCCACCTGTCTACCTAGGCGGAGCTGTAATACCAGAAGAGACGATGCCGCAATACCTTAGCATGACTTTCGACGGGAGGTTAACTTGGAGAACTCGCCATTTAAAGAAAAGGTCTTAAGGAAGACACGCTAAAGTCTTATTGCTGGCTTATAGGCCGTAAGTCCAAGCTGAGTACTTGGTCTAAGCTCCGAGCTCTACAAGGCAATTATTAAACCAATTTGGACTTACGGCATTCAGCTAGCCGAAGCAACCTAAGATTGATTCAGATATTTCAAAACAAGGCACTGCGCATTGTTTCCAATGCACATATTTACCATGACAACGCTTTCATCCACCGTGTTCTCAAGATTCCATGGGTCAGTGATGAGATCGCCAAAAGCAGCAGCAGATACCTGCATAGGCTCCACCTTCACAACAACAACCTAGCAGTTGGTCTGCTGGACAACAGCAACAACACCAGAAGGCTCAAGAGAATGCACCCGCTGGATATTCCAAGGAACCAAAATAATTAATCCAATCATTAATCCGTCATTTGTGATGACGGATCTGATCATTGCCGCTGACCCAGTGCGCGTACTGAACCTCATGATGGAAACTGGCACCATGGTAGATCAGTGGGTCGATTCATATTTGGAACCAATATATCACTGTTTCAGTTTAAATGGCAAACTAATATTTCAAAAGTAATTGGGTAAATTGGATTCGAACCGATTCGTTTTTATACCCTTGCAGAGGGTATTATAATTTGGTCGTGAAATGTGTAACGCATAGAAGGAGACATCTCCGACCCCATAAAGTATATATATTCTTGATCAGCATCAACAGCCGAGTCGATAGAGCCAGGTCCGCCTGTCCGTCTGTCTTTCTGTCCGTCTGTCCGTCTGTCTGTTTCTATGCGAACTAGTCCCTCAGTTTTAAAGCTATCTTAATGAAACTTTGCAGAAGTCCCTCTTTCTGTTGCACGCAGCACATATGTCAAAACCAGCTGGATCGGACCACTTATCATATAGCTGCCATAGGAACGATCGGTCGAAAATTAAGTTTTTCTATGAAAAAGCATTTTGTTTTTCAAGATATCTTAACTTTACTATGCTCTTCATATAAATGCAAAATCGTATTAAGATCGGTACACTATATCATATAGCTGCCACAGGAACGATCGGTAGAAAACTAGGTTTTTGATTAAAAACCTTTTTTGTTTTTCAAGATATCTTGCCCAAACTCGGCATTAACTACTAAACAAATCACTATAAGCATTATGAAAAGGTTGGGTCTGCAAGGGTATTAGATCTTCGACATGCCGAAGATAGCCTTTCTTTCTCGTTTAACATTGCAAAGGATAAATTATGGAAACCGTCCTTGTCTCCTTTCTGAAGTTGGAATAATAGTTTTCTACTTATTTCAAGATACTATCGATATTTTTTTCAAATCATATTCAGCAGATCAAATGATATGCTAATTTCTAAGGAGTCAATAACAAATTGTTTTCTATGTTTGCTCAAGAATACATAAAAATGACATAATTTATATTTTGTAACAGTTAACTATCAGCCGTTTATTTACTGCTAAAATTTCAAACAAAATGTGTTTCTGATATTTCCATTAAGTAGGAATGATTTAACAAAAATGTGTTTTAATGCAATGTGCTTTGCAAGATGTAATTCTCTTGTATTTATTGTACAACTAAAATTATTTAGTTTGTTTGGCTCTGCGAAAAAAACCTTGCATATGAATACTCCATACATAATAGTTAAAAAAATGCATATTGCGTATTAAAAAATTAATTAAACTAGTTGGACTTTCATTTTAAAATTTAACTTTTACTTGATTGGCTTTCGCGATTGTTGGCTGGTCAGACAATCTTTTTCTTTATAGATAAGTAGCTTATTGAGTGGGTGCCAATATATAAGATAAGCTGAAAAGTTGAAATAGGTATTGTGCGTTGGCCATTGGCTTATCTATCATGTTTATAAGTGTGCGCATATCCGCATACGTTTGTGTTACCTATAAAAGCTCTTATTTCACTTGAATCCGTATGAGTTCATCGTAAACCATGAAAGCATTCATTCTGTTGGCTTTGGCGCTATCCGCCGTCTCTGCGGAGTTCTTGGAACAAGAACATCCCAAGGACTTTCCCAGGTCGACCAAGATCGAGGGTCGCATCACCAATGGCTATCCAGCCTACGAGGGAAAGGCGCCCTACACCGTTGGCCTGAGCTTCAATGGCCAATGGTGGTGCGGTGGTTCCATCATTGCCCACGACTGGGTGCTGACTGCTGCTCACTGCACCAACGGTGCCGGCTCTGTAACCATCTACTACGGTGCCACCTGGCGCACAAACGCCCAGTTCACCCACACTGTTGGCAGCGGCGAGTTCAGGCAGAACCACAGATGGCCCAATGAGAACGGCAATGACATCGCTCTGATCCACACGCCTCATGTCGATTTCTGGCACATGGTCAACAAGGTCGAGCTGCCCAGCTTCAACGACCGCTACAACATGTACGATGGATCCTGGGCTGTTGCCTGCGGCTGGGGTGGTACCTATGATGGTAGCCCACTGCCCGACTGGCTGCAGTGCGTCGATCTGCAGATCATCAGCAACAACCAGTGCTCTCAGACCTATGGCCACCAGCCCGATGGTATTCTGTGCGTTGCCACACCCGACGGCAAGTCCACCTGCAGTGGTGATTCTGGTGGCCCATTGGTTCTCCATGATGGTGGCAGACTGGTCGGTGTTACCTCTTTCGGTAGCAGTGCTGGTTGCCAATCTGGCGCCCCAGCTGGATTTACTCGTGTCACCAACCAGCTGGATTGGATTCGCGACAACTCTGGCGTTGCTTACTACTAAACTTTCTAATAAATGATATTACGATGAGCAAGAATTTGTATTTTGATAAGCATGGAAAAGTCGAAGTTTCAATGTACTGTATACTTCTTCTAAAGTTCGAACAATAATATTTTCGTCTTGCTGGACCTCGCTCCTTTAATAGCGAAACCATACATATATCTTCCATAGTTTTAGAGCTACAGTAGGTAAATTTGTTGTGACCCCTGACGGGCTGTTCTTAATGCATATGGTGTTGTCAATCACATAACCATCGTTGAAAACGCCGCGACACAAGGTCATTGCTGATGATCCGGACATCCACGCAGTTCAGATAGGCCTGCATGCCACTGTCGTTCCAGGCGTATCCCCAGCCGGAGGCAAGAGCCCACCAGCCGTTGTAGTTGTTGCAGCGGTCGTTGTAGCTGGGCAGCTCCAGCTTGTTGACCAAATACCAGAAGTCCACATAGGGTGTGCGGACCAGGGCAATATCATTGTTCAGCTGATCATTATAGTTCTGATAACGGATCTGGTCATTGCCGCTGACCCATTGCGTGTACTGACCCTCATGACGGAAACTGGCGCCGTAGTAGATAAATGTCAGACAAGAAAGGATCAATGTTTCGGTTCATATTTGGCGCTCCACATTTAACCTGGAGCTGCCTGTCTTGCAAGTATGAGGCGAAGAATGCATAGTGTGCCTGCGGTAGGTTGCTCCTGATTTTGAGTACAAGCCCAAGATGCCAGACTCTGTCGAATGCCTGCTTAACACCAAGCATTACGGCGCAGAAGTATTTTTTATTTTCGAACGCCTCCAGGATTCGTTGCACAACTCTATGGCATTGTTCAGGGGTTCCATGACCGCGCCTGAAACCAAATTGGTGATCGGGAATTCAGCCAGCCTCGTCCAAAACTGGCAGTACTCTACGCAGAAATACTCTTTCCAGAATTTTTGAGAGTATTCTTAGTAAACTAATCGGGCGGTATGAGGCGAGATTGGCCTCGGGTTTGCCAGGCTTAGGTATCATGACTACTTGCGCTCTCTTCCATTGCGCTGGAAAATGCCGAGCTCGAGGCATCTGTTGAAGAGCTTAGTAAGAAGTTCGATGCAAACTAGGGGGAGTAGTTTTAACGCAATTGCTTTGATACCATCATTACCTGGCGCTTTGCTATTGCTCAGCGCCTCAATGTATTCAAGCGTTTCCTTCTCAAGGACCGGGAGTATTTGACTGCTGCCTTGATGCACTCGAGAGAGTAGCTGCTCCGTGCTCCGTCATCAGGAGTGCATCTGGGCAAAGGCGTGAACACGTTTTCCAGATAATTTGCGGATCTGCACTAGCTGCTCTCCTCTCCTCCTTGTTGGCCTCTTAAGCTTTATAGTGACTTGCCATAGATTGTGGTGGGGGTCACTGAGTTCCAGTTCCTCCAGGAAGGAGTCAGATGCACTCCTCCTTAGAATGATGAGCGTCTCCTTTAAAGCCTTGGTGGCTCTATTAAGCGCCTGCTTGTCCCTGGGGTTTCTCGTGGAGGAGCTTAGCAATGTGGGGGCTCCAAAGATGGATTTCCCTGTCTGGAATCCAAATGCTATGGTTAAGTTTGGGGGCCGCGTATGCCGCTGCGTTGCAGATGTTTTAAGTTAACGTTTCAATGGCAGTCTCAACGTCAAGATAGCTGTTCAATACCGGGTTTGGGTTGGTCTTTCTAACCAGCCAGCTTTGAAATTTGGCAGTGTCAGTAGTTTTATAAATTAGCTTTTTGCAGGCTGACTTCGTCGCTACCGGGGCGTTAATTCGGAGCGTGACCGCGCTGTGGTCAGAAAACAGATTCTCGTCCGGTATCGTCTGAATTCTTACTGGATTCTTTCCTCGGGACATTGCAAAGCCCAGCACGTCTGGCACCTTCTAGAGATCGGAAGGCCAGTATGTTGGCGCACCATTGGAGTGGCAGTTGAGGTTTTTGATCTGGATCTGCCTGCGCTTATCCCTTCGGGTTGTTTCTTCTGGAGCCCCATCAGGAATGTTTGGCGTTAAAGTCACCGTCTATGACAAACCTGGGACCAAGGGCATGTACCAGCCGACTAAGCTCGTCATCTCTAGCATTATGTCTCGGTTGACAGTAAGCGGCAGCAATTTTCAGATCACCCAGATCTCAATGTACTTTAGGTTATTTCTGATAAGAATTGCCGCTCCGCCACGAGCTCTTCCATTGGGATGGTTGGCGTGAATGAGGTCGTACCCTTAGATGGAGAAAAACGACCCTGAAGAGAAATTCGTCTCAGAAATGAGCAGCATATCGATTTGATTGGTCTTGCAATAATGCTCAACCTCGGGCCTGTTTTTGCACAGGCCGTTCGCATTCCAGATGGTTAATCTCAAATCTATTTGCATAGTTTAGTCATGACTGTAGCCAGCATCTTATTCATCTGGCTAAACATTTTATCGAGCATGCGCTCCATCATCGCTTCCATACGCGCAAACGCTGCGTCTAGCTGATTGTCAGGCTTTGAGGCAAGCCGAGAAGCCTCTCATCAAATTTAAGAGGGGGGCTCGACTGTTACAACAGATCGGCATGATATTGAAAGCTTCCTTGTTGTTATTGGCCGGCTCAAGGTTGGCAAAGAAAATGCTGAGTGGCTTTTTGGTCACCTTGCCGACTAGGTTGTGTACATCTCTGGTGCTATGGCCGTGGCTATTCAAAGCTGTCTTGATGTCGTTAATGTCAGTGGAGAAGTGAAGTCCTTTTATGACGATTCGATACGGCCTCTCGTCTCTGGGTTGGACGGTGTAGTACCTCTTGTTGTTTTCATTAGGGAAATTCTTCAGCGCCGTGTAAGTATCCTGGGTCATAACCCGAATGTTGTTGTTTTTGGTTGCCTTTTAGGTAAAATCGTTACCCTGACCAAGGGCTCCAGTGGAGCTGATGAACGCCTTGATGTTCGTTACATCGGGAATGAAAATTGGGGGAGGCTTGATTATTTTGGGTTCTGGTACTTGCATTCGCTTTTAAGTTATGTCTTCGGTCTCTTTGGAGCTGTTGTACTCCATGGATTCGGAGTCATCGTCATCCTTAGATAGTGCCGCCAACCTGTTGTTGCTGAGCCTGGCCATTGCTGCTGCACTTGTGCTGGGTTCATCTTGTTGTCGGTTACAGAAAATCTGCTTGCGGGGAATCCTTCTTTTTAACTCTCCAGGCTCAGGTCCTGAGCTGGAGTCGTCAGTTTCAGCAGCGTTAGTTGATGTATTTAACTTCTTTGGTTTGCTAGAACCGTCTGACTTTTCTATTTTCTTTTTTTTTTTTTTGTTGATAAGTATTGCTCTGTTTGACAATTCTCGACAACTGACGCTCCATACCTGATAGTCTAAAAAATAATTTAAATGATCATGACTTTCCGTTTTAATATTTAAATTTTACTTGATTGGTGCTCGCGATTATTGGTGGTCAGTCAATCTTTTTGTTTATAGACAGCTCGTTGAGTAGGTGCCGAAATATGAGATAAGCTGAAGATTGAAAAGAGGATTGTGCGATGGCCATTGGCTTATCTATCTATCTTTATAAGTATGCACATTCACATACGTATGTGGTACAATTCTTTCATATAAAAGCCCTTACTTTAATTGAATCCGTATGAGTTCATCGTAAAACATGAAAGTATTCATTCTATTGGCTTTGGCGCTATCCGCCGTCTCTGCGGAGTTCTTGAAACAAGAACATCCCAAGGACTTTCCCAGATCGGCCAAGATCCAGGGACGTATCACCAATGGCTATCCAGCCCCTGAGGGCAAGGCCCCCTACACCGTTGGCCTGAGCTTCGATGGCAGCTGGTGGTGCGGTGGTTCCATCATTGCTCACGACTGGGTTCTGACTGCTGCTCACTGCACCCACGATGCCAGCTCTGTGACCATCTTCTACGGTGCCACCTGGCGCACCAACGCCCAGTTTACCCACCATGTTGGCCGCAGCGAGTTCAGAGAGCACCACAAATATCCCCTTGAGACCGGCAATGACATCGCTCTGATCAAAACTCCCCATGTCGACTTCTGGCACATGGTCAACAAGGTGGAGCTACCCAGCTTCAACGACCGCTACGACATGTACGATAATGCCTGGGCTGTTGCCTGCGGCTGGGGTGGTACCTATGATGGTAGCCCACTGCCCGACTGGCTGCAGTGCGTCGATCTGCAGATCATCAGCAATAGCAAGTGCCGTGAGAGCTATGGACACATCAATGATGGAGTCCTCTGTGTTGCCACACCCGACGGCAAGTCCACCTGCAGTGGTGATTCTGGTGGCCCATTGGTTCTCCATGATGGTGGCAGACTGGCTGGTGTCACCTCTTTCGGTAGCAGTGCTGGTTGCCAATCTGGCGCCCCAGCTGGATTCACTCGTGTCACCCACCAGTTGGAATGGATTCGCGACAACTCTGGCGTTGCTTACTACTAAACTTTCTAATAAATGATATTACGATGAGCAAGAATTTGTATTTTGATAAGCATGGAAAAGTCGAAGTTTCAATGTACTGTATACTTCTTCTAAAGTTCGAACAATAATATTTTCGTCTTGCTGGACCTCGCTCCTTTAATAGCGAAACCATACATATATCTTCCATAGTTTTAGAGCTACAGTAGGTAAATTTGTTGTGACCCCTGACGGGCTGTTCTTAATGCATATGGTGTTGTCAATCACATAACCATCGTTGAAAACGCCGCGACACAAGGTCATTGCTGATGATCCGGACATCCACGCAGTTCAGATAGGCCTGCATGCCACTGTCGTTCCAGGCGTATCCCCAGCCGGAGGCAAGAGCCCACCAGCCGTTGTAGTTGTTGCAGCGGTCGTTGTAGCTGGGCAGCTCCAGCTTGTTGACCAAATACCAGAAGTCCACATAGGGTGTGCGGACCAGGGCAATATCATTGTTCAGCTGATCATTATAGTTCTGATAACGGATCTGGTCATTGCCGCTGACCCATTGCGTGTACTGACCCTCATGACGGAAACTGGCGCCGTAGTAGATAAATGTCAGACAAGAAAGGATCAATGTTTCGGTTCATATTTGGCGCTCCACATTTAACCTGGAGCTGCCTGTCTTGCAAGTATGAGGCGAAGAATGCATAGTGTGCCTGCGGTAGGTTGCTCCTGATTTTGAGTACAAGCCCAAGATGCCAGACTCTGTCGAATGCCTGCTTAACACCAAGCATTACGGCGCAGAAGTATTTTTTATTTTCGAACGCCTCCAGGATTCGTTGCACAACTCTATGGCATTGTTCAGGGGTTCCATGACCGCGCCTGAAACCAAATTGGTGATCGGGAATTCAGCCAGCCTCGTCCAAAACTGGCAGTACTCTACGCAGAAATACTCTTTCCAGAATTTTTGAGAGTATTCTTAGTAAACTAATCGGGCGGTATGAGGCGAGATTGGCCTCGGGTTTGCCAGGCTTAGGTATCATGACTACTTGCGCTCTCTTCCATTGCGCTGGAAAATGCCGAGCTCGAGGCATCTGTTGAAGAGCTTAGTAAGAAGTTCGATGCAAACTAGGGGGAGTAGTTTTAACGCAATTGCTTTGATACCATCATTACCTGGCGCTTTGCTATTGCTCAGCGCCTCAATGTATTCAAGCGTTTCCTTCTCAAGGACCGGGAGTATTTGACTGCTGCCTTGATGCACTCGAGAGAGTAGGTGCTCCGTTTCCTCAGGAGTGCATCTGGGCAAAGGCGTGAACACGCTTTCCAGATAATTCGCGGATCGGCACTAGCTGCCGTTTGTATTTTTGACTGGGACTGCTCTCCTTGTTAGCCTCTTAAGCTTTATAGTGACTTGCCATAGATTGTGGTGGGGGTCACTGGGTTCCAGTCCCTCCAGGAAGGAGTCCAAAGCACTCCTCCTTAGAATGATGAGCGTCTCCTTTAAAGCCTTGGTGGCTCTATTATGCGCTGTCTTATTTCTGGGGTTTCTTGAAAGAAACTAGACACGCCTGAGTCTCCGTTTCTCGTGGAGGAGCTCAGCAATCTGGAGGCTCCAAAGATGGATTTCCCCGTCTGGAATCCTAGGGCTATCAAATGATATATTTATTTAATAAGGAACCAATAAAAGTTGGCTCAAAAATACATAAAAATTACGTAATTTGAATTTTGTAACATTTTGTCACTGCTATTAACATAGCCTTCTAACCATCATAGTTGATCCAATCATTCCCCCTCCCACCACTCACCAACTACTAATAACATATCGACATAAATTACAATAGGAAATAATTACAAATGAAACACGCCCAGTTAAGTACTCTTCAAAACATTTAATCATTGTCGACGCATGACAGATTCTTTCATCCAAAATACTCTACGAAAATGACTTTGCATATAAAAACTCCATACATGATAGTCTAAAATATGAATATTGCGTCTTAAAAAATTAATTAAATAAGTATGACTTTCCGTTTTAATATTTAAATTTTACTTGATTGCTGCTAAGTAGGTGCCGAAATATAAGATAGGCTGAAGATTGAAAAGAGGATTGTGCGATGGCCATTGGCTTATCTATCCATGTTTATAAGTATGCACTTTCACATACGTATGTGGTACAATTGTTTCCTATAAAAACCCTTACTTCAGTTGAATCCGCATGAGTTCATCGTAAAACATGAAAGTATTCATTCTATTGGCTTTGGCGCTATGCGCCGTCTCTGCGGAGTTCTTGAAACAAGAACATCCCAAGGACTTTCCCAGGTCGGCCAAGATCGAGGGACGTATCACCAATGGCTATCCAGCCCCTGAGGGCAAGGCCCCCTACACCGTTGGCCTGAGCTTCGATGGCAGCTGGTGGTGCGGTGGTTCCATCATTGCTCACGACTGGGTTCTGACTGCTGCTCACTGCACCAACGATGCCAGCTCTGTGACCATCTACTACGGTGCCACCTGGCGCACCAACGCCCAGTTTACCCACCATGTTGGCCGCAGCGAGTTCAGACAGAACCACAGATGGCCCAATGAGAACGGCAATGACATCGCTTTGATTAAAACTCCCCATGTCGATTTCTGGCACATGGTCAACAAGGTGGAGCTGCCCAGCCTCAACGACCGCTACAACATGTACGATAACGCCTGGGCTGTTGCCTGCGGCTGGGGTGGTACCTATGATGGTAGCCCACTGCCCGACTGGCTGCAGTGCGTCGATCTGCAGATCATCAGCAATAGCAAGTGCCGTGAGACCTATGACATCAATGATGGAATCCTCTGTGTTGCGACACCCGACGGCAAGTCCACCTGCAGTGGTGATTCTGGTGGCCCATTGGTTCTCCATGATGGTGGCAGACTGGTTGGTGTCACCTCTTTCGGTAGCAGTGCTGGTTGCCAATCTGGCGCCCCAGCTGGATTCACTCGTGTCACCCACCAGTTGGAATGGATTCGCGACAACTCTGGCGTTGTTTACCACTAAACTTTCTAATAAATGATATTACGATGAGCAAGAAATTGTGTTTTGATAAGTTTGTTCTTTTCTAAACTTCGAGCAACAATTGTGTTGCCTCGCTGGCCCCGCCCTTTTAATAGCAAAATCATATATCTTCCATTGTTTTCGAGCGACAGTAGATAAGTTTGGGATGACTCCCGATGAGGACCTTGATGAGCTTTACTGAAGACTGATCCAAAATGTGTCTGCCAACTAGAATCCCGCAAAAAATCTTGCGTACCTTTAATTTATTTTATTTGCGTGATTTCAATTTAGTAGGAGATACCAGTGTTGTCACGAATCCAGTCCAGGTAGCCAGTGACACGGGTGAAGCCAGCAGGTTGGCCGGCAGTGCAGCCATCCCAATGGCCGAAGGATGTGATGCCGATGATGCGGTTACCTTCGTGTGTGACCAGAGGGCCGCCAGAATCGCCGTTGCAGGTGGACTTACCGCCGGATGTGTTGATGCAGATGGTGTTGTCAATCACATAGCCACCGCCGTAAACGTTGCGACACTCGTCATTGCTGATGATCTGGACATCCACGCAGTTCAGATAGGCCTGCATGCCACTGTCGTTCGAGTTATATCCCCAGCCGGAGGCGACAGCCCACCAGCCGTTGTAGTTGTTGTAGCGGTCGTTGTAGCTGGGCAGCTCCACCTTGTTGACCAAACTCCAGAAGTCGACATGGGGTGTGCGGATCAGGGCAATATCGTTGTTCAGCTGATCATTGTATCCGTGATGACGGATCTGGTCGCCCCCGCTGACCCAGTGCGTGTACTGAGCCTCATGACGGAAACTGGCGCCGTAGTAAATGGTCACTCCAGAACCATCATTGATGCAGTGGCCGGCAGTCAGGACCCAGGTGTTTCCAATGATCGAACCACCGCACCACCAGCCGCCATCGAAGCTCAGGCCCACAATGTAGGGCACCTTGCCCTCGTAGGCTGGGTAGCCATTGGTTATGCGTCCCTCAATGGATTTCTTTGGCATGTCCATAACCTTCAGGGGTTTGTTCATGCCGGTTGGCACAGCGGTGGCTGCGGCAACAGCCAAGGCCAGGAATACGAACAGCTTCATTCTCGAATGTTAACTCTGTGTTCTGCAAATATTTTTCCTGCTTTTATACTTTTCGAGTCTTATCATAGTTTGCTCGAAGTCTCGCTATTCTAATCGCGGCTCATAAATTTATTTCGCGTCTAGCCCTAGTCTGGTCGATAAGTAAGAGGTTTAGATGTGGGCATGCCCACTGAAAATATTGTTCATATCATTCGATAATGTTTTGGGGTTTTCGTATAATTATATGAATTAAACGAATTTTATTTATCCTTCCTATTAACGAAACTCTGAGATCATTTACTTAAGAATTATTATTAAATATTTTTAGGCATAGGATAGCATAACTTCAACCCCATAAGGTATATATATCAACACCCCTGTTGGTAAAGCCATGCAATCTCTCCGTCTGTCCGCTATGCAAATAATTATCTCAGTCTCTAGTCTCCATCTTTTTGATGGAGGTGGAATTGCCGCATTGGACTCCTTTATCATGTAGGAATAATCGCTCAAAAGTTAAGTTCTTGTATTAGCTCTTGTTTTTCAAGAAACATTAGCAAATTTGGAAATAATTTTTTGAGTACGCTTATTATTATATATGTATATGTGAAAAATATATCAACATCGGACCATGATTTTTCCGACGTTTGGACCGATCTTTACAAAAGGTCAACGAAAGTAAGCGGAGATAAAGATTTTTAAGGTTTTCCTTGTAGGTGTGGCTCGAAAAGACGAAGATATAATCTGAGCCGGGTAGATGCGAGTATATAGTCTAAGGTCTAAGTCTGAGATCTCCAGCTTCAGCGCTATAAGAATTGCATTAATTACAATAAGGTCGGGCTTTAAACTCGCATATTTTTATCAAAACTGAACCGATCTTCATGTTTGATGCCATTTCGAACTTGGTTTATCATTTAGATTGATTCTGCTCCTAAAATACCTCTAAGATTTACAATAGCAGGCCAACACAACTTCCTGTTGAAGCTTTACAATTTGCCATATTTTATACTTAAAGTAAATTTGAATACGGTTTCGATATGAATAAAATGTCAGACAAGAAGGGATTCATATTTGGAACCAATACTTCATTCTGATTCTGGTAACTGTTTCCATTTTAAGGGGCAACTAGTACTTTTAAAGTAATTGGTTTAATTGGATACAACCGATTCGTTTTTTATTTATTATGGCCTCTTTTATGGATATGGCTCAATAATTGTCTACCTATTTCAATATACTTATAAGGTTTTGATCTGTACAGGGTATAGTGGTAATTCAATTCAAATAAATTTCACAATCCCCTTAACTATAATCGAATGATGCGAACAATGTTCTAAGTTGGCAGGCCCACATCTATTTCTTATCGGCCAGACAAGAACTAGACTCGAATAAAATTTACGAGCCGCGATTAGAGTAGTGCGACTTGAAGTCCCCTTTGATAACATTCGAAGTGTATAAAAGCAGGAAAAATATTTGCAAAACACAAAGTTAACATTCGAGAATGAAGCTGTTCGTATTCCTGGCCTTGGCTGTTGCCGCAGCCACCGCTGTGCCAACCGGCATGAACAAACCCCTGAAGGTTATGGACATGCCAAAGAAATCCATTGAGGGACGCATAACCAATGGCTACCCAGCCTACGAGGGCAAGGTGCCCTACATTGTGGGCCTGAGCTTCGATGGCGGCTGGTGGTGCGGTGGTTCGATCATTGGAAACACCTGGGTCCTGACTGCCGGCCACTGCATCAATGATGGTTCTGGAGTGACCATCTACTACGGCGCCAGTTTCCGTCATGAGGCTCAGTACACGCACTGGGTCAGCGGGGGCGACCAGATCCGTCATCACGGATACAATGATCAGCTGAACAACGATATTGCCCTGATCCGCACACCCCATGTCGACTTCTGGAGTTTGGTCAACAAGGTGGAGCTGCCCAGCTACAACGACCGCTACAACAACTACAACGGCTGGTGGGCTGTCGCCTCCGGCTGGGGATACGCCTGGAACGACAGTGGCATGCAGGCCTATCTGAACTGCGTGGATGTCCAGATCATCAGCAATGACGAGTGTCGCAACGTTTACGGCGGTGGCTATGTGATTGACAACACCATCTGCATCAACACATCCGGCGGTAAGTCCACCTGCAACGGCGATTCTGGCGGCCCTCTGGTCACACACGAAGGTAACCGCATCATCGGCATCACATCCTTCGGCCATTGGGAGGGCTGCACTGCCGGCCAACCTGCTGGCTTCACCCGTGTCACTGGCTACTTGGACTGGATTCGTGACAACACTGGTATCTCCTACTAAATGGAAAACTCGAACATAATAAACACTTAAAAGTACACAAGACTTTATTTTTGGAATTTTGTGAAGTTCCAATATCAAAGAGTAGCTCTTAATTATAGATTGAGCGCGTCCCTATGCAATGTACTGCAACCCACCTCCCGTCAAACCGACCGAGGGGCCCAGTCGTGTAACGTATACGTATGAGTCGCGAAGTTCAGAACGAATACAAACTACGAATATATGCAAAGACTATCTGCTTGCTTAATAGTTCAGAATAGATGGCTTTATTAGAGGAAGAGAATACTCTAGTTAGTTTAAAAAAATGTAAGCGATAAAGTTGTATAGTTACGTGTTAGACTAGTAGGGATAGAGATGTTTAATTTGCTAGTCAACCGAGAAGAGTCGATTGAACTTGTCATAAGCTTATGAATAAATATTTCACCAAGCATGGTTACACGCTTAATTGAGGAAAAGGTAGATTAATCGGGAGTCTACTGGACTATTAAGGTTTTCACTCGATTTTAATTCAAGATTGTTAACCTTTTTAAACTTTATTTGCTACCAGCTTGCCGGTATTAGAGGTGCTTAGTCCACTTGAAAGTCCACTTAATCCTAGATATTAGGATTAGGGCTAAATAATATAGCTTCCGTAGTCAGGATTAGTCGAGAAATCAGTTCTTTTTTTTTTGTCTTTTCCCAGATATTTTCATCAAATATGTTTCACATATATATCTGCAAAACCGAAAAGTAGCAGTTTACAAGGATCTTCAATATTCAATATTATTCTCTCGTTTATTCTATACCTTCTTTCATATTATGTAATTGAACAAGATACACGCCTACTTAAAAGTTCAATTCTCTTGAGTTTATTATCTAATCGCTTAGTCAACGGAAATGGTATTCAAAGCTGACTGGCAAAAAATTTAACTATGTTGGGGGTATTTCTGATAACCTAAGCAGAAGGATTTATTACCTTCAATTTTGATTTTTACTCACTCTAAGCACGTAGCCCAACTCATTCATAAAACTACTGTGCAAAGCTGATAAAGAGCTACACCCGATAAGAAATGTATATGTCAATACTTCTAACTTGGCTCGTCTATGCCTATTGACCAGACGAACCGACACGCCCGCTAAACGTTATCTTATTTAGTCTGTGAGTAACTAATCACATACAAAGTTTCCATGCAATTCATATATATTTGTTCAAGATACCAACTTAATAGTAGGCAACGCCAGAGTTGTCGCGAATCCAGTCCAGTTGATTTGTGACACGCGTGAAACCAGATGGAAGACCCGATTGGCAACCAGCGCCAGATACCCAGGAGGTAACACCAACCAATTTGGCGCCATCATGGAGCACCAGTGGGCCGCCGGAATCACCTTGGCAGGTGGACTTGCCGTCAGGTGTGGCAACGCACAGAATACCATCAGGCTGGTGGCCATAGGTCTGAGAGCACTGGTTGTTGCTGATGATCTGCAGATCGACGCACTGCAGCCAGTCGGGCAGTGGACTACCATCATAGGTACCACCCCAGCCGCAGGCAACAGCCCAGGAGCCATCGTACATATTGTAGCGATCGTTGAAGCTGGGCAGGTCCACCTTGTTGACCATGCTCCAGAAATCGACATGAGGCGTGTGGATCAGAGCGATGTCATTGCCGTTCTCATTGGGCCATCGGTTATTCTGTCTGAACTCGCCGCTGCCAACAGTGTGGGTGAACTGGGCGTTGGTGCGCCAGGTGGCACCGTAGTAAATGGTCACAGAGCTGGCACCGTTGGTGCAGTGAGCAGCAGTCAGCACCCAGTCGTGAGCAATGATCGAACCACCGCACCACCAGCCATTGAAGGCCAGGCCAACGGTGTAGGGCGCCTTGCCCTCGTAGGCTGGATAGCCATTGGTTATGCGACCCTCGATCTTAACAGACCTGGGAAGGTCTTTGGGATGGACCTGGTCGACGGTCCCCGCAGAGACGGCAGCGATGGCCAAAGCTAATATTATAAAAGCCTTTATGTTCAACACGCGATTGGTGCCCATTCAGTACCTTAGCACGGCTTTTATATTGCTATCGTATCATATCTTCTTCACTTCGAGAGATAGGAGGCACTCATTAAAATCGAATACGTATATATATATTAAGCTATTTGAGCGCTTCGTAGATAACAAGTTTTTTAATTGATAGGGCATCCGGCACATGTTAGAGATTGGCTAGTCCTTCTTATAACAATTATATGCCTCTTTAACCGTTTGCTGAACCCGTAGACAAGCAGAGTGCTAAGATGTGCCTCACCCCACCCACACCAAGGAGAAACTCACAAATCCCCAAAAATATAGTCTTGTGTGCTTTTAAGTGTTTATTATGTTCGAATTTTCCATTTAGTAGGAGATACCAGTGTTGTCACGAATCCAGTCCAAGTAGCCAGTGACACGGGTGAAGCCAGCAGGTTGGCCGGCAGTGCAGCCATCCCAATGGCCGAAGGATGTGATGCCGATGATGCGGTTACCTTCGTGTGTGACCAGAGGGCCGCCAGAATCGCCGTTGCAGGTGGACTTACCGCCGGATGTGTTGATGCAGATGGTGTTGTCAATCACATAGCCACCGCCGTAAACGTTGCGACACTCGTCATTGCTGATGATCTGGACATCCACGCAGTTCAGATAGGCCTGCATGCCACTGTCGTTCCAGGCGTATCCCCAGCCGGAGGCGACAGCCCACCAGCCGTTGTAGTTGTTGTAGCGGTCGTTGTAGCTGGGCAGCTCCACCTTGTTGACCAAACTCCAGAAGTCGACATGGGGTGTGCGGATCAGGGCAATATCGTTGTTCAGCTGATCATTGTATCCGTGATGACGGATCTGGTCGCCCCCGCTGACCCAGTGCGTGTACTGAGCCTCATGACGGAAACTGGCGCCGTAGTAGATGGTCACTCCAGAACCATCATTGATGCAGTGGCCGGCAGTCAGGACCCAGGTGTTTCCAATGATCGAACCACCGCACCACCAGCCGCCATCGAAGCTCAGGCCCACAATGTAGGGCACCTTGCCCTCGTAGGCTGGGTAGCCATTGGTTATGCGTCCCTCAATGGATTTCTTTGGCATGTCCATAACCTTCAGGGGTTTGTTCATGCCGGTTGGCACAGCGGTGGCTGCGGCAACAGCCAAGGCTAGGAATACGAACAGCTTCATTCTCGAATGTTTACTCTGTGTTTTGCAAATATTTTTCCTACTTTAATACACGTCGAGTGTTATCAAAGGGGACTTCAAGTCGCACTACTCTAATCGCGGCTCGTAAATTTTATTCGAGTCTAGTCCTTGTCTGGCCGATAAGAAATGCCTCTAGCTGTGGCTGTGTTGTTGGTAATTCTACATTTGTTTGAATTGATTTGTAATATTGGTATACTGAAGAATGTACCCTGTAATTTAAGTTACAGAATATTTTTATTACAGTCTTTCAAGTATAAGCAAGCTTATTCATCGAGTCCCTAAACAGCCTCAGTTGCAAGAAATATTATTATTTTATTATAAGTTTCTCTTATGATACAGTTTATATTCAGCACCAATAGGGTATCTGGTCTGCTGAGTAGAGTCCAAAAAAAAACATTAAATTTTCAAAAAAGCATGATTTATGGCAAATTGTTTAGCCCTCAGCAGGAAGTTGTGCTGGTCTTCTATTGTAAATCTTAGAAGGAAGGAGACAGTCAAAAGTCTAAATGCAATTCTTATTTCTGGAACTTTGCGAGAATCTATAGAGGGAGTAAAGAGCTGAAACTTTCGAGAGGACCCAATGTCATCAACAAACACTCTGCCCTAATATCCATTTAATTTAATGAAATAAATTAAGTGTAGGATATTTAAAATTAGGTATACGATATGGGCATACGTATGTATCTCTGGATACACTTCTAGACTATTTCAATATGGAGCCTTTTTAAGCCTAAAGTTTCATCAGTTGCATAGATCTTAGACCCGACTATCTCTAGCAACCGGATGCGAACATTTATGATTGTCATTTTCTTTTTTTTTTTTGTGGCATATTGAAATTGATGCAAATCAAGCGGTATCTTATCAGTGAAATGTACCCAACGCCTGCGCGACTTTTTTCAATCGTGTTATCTGTGCAAATAAATTAAAGTATTTTCAAGCGTTTGGAATAAGTGCCACACGCTACTCTAAAACTGTGAATGATTACAAACGAGTACATCCACTCCTGGTGAAGACGAATAGTGAATTCTAGAAATTACGTCAATGATACGTGTGTTCAACTAAACGCTTATCGACGAAACAAACAAAAAAAAAAAACAAACTTCATTTAATTTTAATATATGAATATGAAATCTGAAATACTTGTTTTCATAATTTTTATTGCCACCACGTTCTTATCATTTGGATATTGTAAATATTTTGAATAACGTACAGATTTGGGGTGTCTGATTTAAAGAGACTGAAACAAAGGAAGTTATAAATATTGATAAGACTTTGGGAATCTTTATTTTTAGATTGGACTGAAATTAATCTCTTTATATAAAAATGTTTCGCCCTGCTAATCGACTGTCTGACTGATTTACTGATTGCCGATCGGCAAGGAAGCTTATGTTCTTACACTCAAGTTATCTTATGTAATGAAGATGTACACAAGAGTGGGTTTATCGGAGTGTGGAACATAGCGAAGAACGACTGCATGCAACTTTTGGCTTACCAGCCAAACTGGCCTCAAACTGATTTACATATATATTTTATTTTATTTATTTATTTTATTTTTTCAAATTAATTTGAGAGGCGTTTCACACTTTTCGGAAATGCATTCCTCTTTTGTGGATAAGGGTGTCAAAGACCTAATGGGTCATTTCCAAGGATCTTTATGAAAATTAACTTGTCGCTAAGTTGAAGCCTGCTCGTTGGAAATGCGAGTAATTTGTTTATGCAGATGAAGGTTCTGCTTATTTCCTAGTCGGGTGACAGAAGGTAGTTCGCTCAGCTTGACTGGGCGCAAGTTCGACTCCGGCAAAGGAAACTTAATCATTTTTTCCTAAATTCTTTTTATTATGGGTAATATTTGACTTTACCCATTAAATGGGCTTGATATTTGTATACCTCAAACTTTCCTCCACAGGCAGCTCGAATTTTCGGATTCTCATCTAAGTCCTTAGTTTCGACACAAAATAAACAAACACATTTAGTTTTTATTATCATGTTATGATGCATTAATTAGCTGAAAGTTTTACAAGTTGTTTATTAAAACGGGTTTTTGCGATCCACTTCAAGCAATTTACTTGCTTTAAAATATATCAATATATATATGTATATTTATATATTGTTAAGCACTTAGATCAGCACATACCTAAAGCTTATGGGTTTCTATATTCTAGCTCGAGAGGAATGCCATTTAAATGCGCTATCTCAAAGTATTGCTAGACTAAATAGAAGCCTTAGAGTGCCCTCTTGAAATATATGAAAAACTTACAATGATAGCAAATTTATATTTAGGTGGTTCTCAAAATTTTGTAATCTTAAATGCATAAATATTATACTATTTTCATTAAAACTCTGAATTAATTGGTTTATCAAAATCTCGATTAACTATGCACTTATATAAATATATATATATATATCTATCAAGATGTATTCCTGCTCGAAAAATAGTATAAAAGCAACGTGGTTTTTGTGTATAGCCATGAGTTGTTCATTAAACATGAAGGCATTCATAGTACTCGCTTTGGCTATTGCTGCCGTCGCTGCGGAGACCGTAGAGCAAGTCCATCCCAAGGATTTACCTAGGTCTGCCAAGCTCGAGGGTCGCATCACCAATGGCTATCCAGCCTACGAGGGCAAGGCGCCCTACACCGTTGGCCTGAGCTTCAATGGCTGGTGGTGTGGTGGTTCCATCATTGCTCACGACTGGGTGCTGACTGCTGCTCACTGCACCAACGGTGCCAGCTCTGTAACCATCTACTACGGTGCCACCTGGCGCACCAACGCCCAGTTCACCCACCATGTTGGCAGCGGCGAGTTCAGACAGAACCACAGATGGCCCAATGAGAATGGCAATGACATCGCTCTGATCCACACTCCTCATGTCGATTTCTGGCACATGGTCAACAAGGTGGAGCTGCCCAGCTTCAACGACCGCTACAACATGTACGATAACGCATGGGCTGTTGCCTGCGGCTGGGGCATTACCTCCGATGGCGGTTCTCAACCCGACTGGTTACAGTGCGTTGACCTGCAGATCATCAGCAATAGCAAGTGCTCTGAGACCTATGGCCACCAGCCCGACGGTATTCTGTGCGTTGCCACACCCGGCGGCAAGTCCACCTGCAGCGGTGACTCTGGTGGTCCATTGGTTCTCCATAACGGCGGCAGATTGGCTGGTGTTACGTCGTGGGTTGCTGGCAATGGTTGCACAGCTGGTCTTCCAGCTGGCTTCACTCGTGTCACCCATCAGTTGGAATGGATTCGCGACAACTCTGGCGTTGCTTACTATTAAGGTGTTCTATGAACTGCATGCAAAATAAACCAATTGAACATCTCGTATTTAAATGAAATATTTATTGGGATGGGATAACTCCTAGTGTTAAACGAGAAAGCCACAAAAAGGATGTTTAGAAAAAACCAAGCTTCTCTAGTGATTCCTTCAGTTATAAATATGAAGTTATCATATTATCATCAAATGCGCATAAATTCAAAAGACTTTGCATAAATCGTGACTCGTTATCGGCTTGTAAAATTATTTTTTTATGATCGGATTATATATTTAATTTATGAACCACTCAAATTAAGATAATGGCGAATAGAGTTTGTGCATGATTTTCGTATAAAAGCAACAGTAGGGTCCACCGAGGCTCAAGTTGTACCTGCAATATGAAGGTGTTCATTACAATTTTGGCTTTGGCTGTTGCCTCCGCCACTGGAGCTGCGGTGCCTGCCGCCACGCAGAAGGCTGTCCATATGAAGGACATGTCCAGCCGTATCACCAATGGCTACCCAGCCTATGAGGGCAAGGCCCCCTATACCGTTGGCCTGGGCTTCAGCGGGGGCTGGTGGTGCGGTGGTTCCATCATTGGAAACACCTGGGTCCTGACTGCCGAGCACTGCACGGGCTCTGACGTCACAGTCTACTTCGGTGCCACCTGGCGCACCAACGCCCAGTTCACCCACTGGGTCAGCCGTAATGACATCATCAACCACCACAACGCTGATATCGCTCTGATCCGTATTCCCCATGTGGACTTCTGGCACATGGTCAACAAGGTGGAGCTGCCCAGCTACAACGATCGCTACAACGACTTCAATGAACGCTGGGCCGTTGCTTGCGGCTGGGGTGGTACCTACGATGGCAGCCCACTGCCCGACTGGCTGCAGTGCGTCGACCTGCAAATCATGCACAACTCCGAATGCCAGAGGACCTACGGCTCTTCCGTTGTAGGAGACAACATCCTCTGTGTAAGAACTCCCGACGGCAAGTCCACCTGCGGTGGTGACTCCGGTGGTCCATTGGTTACACACGACGGCAACAAATTGGTGGGCGTTACCAACTTTGGCACTTCCTCGTGCACATCTGGTGCTCCAGCTGGCTTCCAGCGCGTCACCTACCACTTGGACTGGATCCGCGACCACACTGGCATCGCTTACTAATAGATTTAAATATAAACATCAAATAAAATTGATTTGAATGCATTTGATAAGCGTTTCTTATGTAAATTTGTTGTCTGTATTGAGTACAACAGTCAAGTTTTAAGAAACCAGAAAAGATTTTTAAATGTATAAGCACAAAGGTTTATGGTTCTTGGGATCAAAATAGTTGTAAGCCACTGCTCATGATTACGGTTTCTATTCCATGAAAAATACTTTGATTTCAAAATTCTCCTTTTAATTCCCTGAACCCATTGAAAATGGGTATTATGTATTTGTGCAAATGTATGTAACAGGCAGAAGGAAGCATCTACGACCCCATAAAGTATATATATTCTTGATCAGCATCTATAGCCGAGTCGCTTTAGCCATGTCCCTCTGTCTGTCCGGTCGTCCGTCCGGCAATAAGATATACTGTAGAAAATTTCATTAAGATCGGTTAAGAGAAAACCAAAGTTATATGTAATTGCGCAATTGGATGGCACTGCTAGCGAAATTATCAAGAATTTGTGTATACATGTACACACACACATTCATGCGCGTCTGCTTCGCATTCTATCGAATTCTAACGGCATTGTAATTGCGAATTTTTTATATAATGCTATTTTAGTTCGTTTTTTTCTCATTGCTACTTAATTATTGGTGTGGCTGTTGAGTAGAGGCATAGCAAGTGTTGTGGTCTGTTGCGAGTCCGAGCCCTACCTGGGTAACTATTTTTTTTGATGATGCTGGTTTGTCTGTTGAGTAGAGTCAGCAAATAATACGGTGCAAGTTCGAACCCTGCCAAGGAAATTTTTTTTTATTATTTATCTTTATTACTTCAAACGAGCGCGTTGCGCGAACTGCATTTGGTGTTGGAATAAAAGGGTTCAGGGTATTCCCCAGTCGGGAGCTCCCGACTAGAACCTCTTACTTGTTTCTGGCTAACTGAGTAACTGACTCTGAGCTAACTGAGTAACTGACTCCTTGACTGGTGGTCAACGAGCCTTGGCATGAAGATGGATCTATTTGCGTTTCGCTACGCTTTCTGACGTAAAATAGGCATCAAACAAGACAAGAGAGTATAATGTATTCATTTTATATATGTATGCTTTATTTGGGTCATTTTGGAAGCAGTAGCTTATTAGTAAGAAATGCCAGTGTGGTCACGAATCCAGTCCAAGTGGTAGGTGACACGCTGGAAGCCAGATGGGTGTCCAGATTGGCAACCGGCAGCAGAAACCCAGTTGGTAACACCGACCAGTTTGTTGCTGTCGTGTGTAACCAATGGACCACCGGAGTCACCACCGCAGGTGGACTTGCCGTCGGGAGTTCTCACACAGAGGATGTTGTCAGTAACAGTTCCAGAGCCGTAAGTCTGCTGGCACTCGGAGTTGTGCATGATCTGCAGGTCGACGCACTGAAGATAGTCGGGCAATGGGCTGCCATCGTAGGTACCACCCCAGCCGCAAGCAACGGCCCAGTTATTGTTGTAGTCGTTGTAGCGATCGTTGTAGCTGGGCAGCTCCACCTTGTTAACCATGTGCCAGAAGTCCACATGGGGAATGCGGATCAGAGCGATGTCAGCGCTGTTGTGGTTGATGATGTCATTGCCGCTGACCCAGTGGGTGAACTGGGCGTTGGTGCGCCAGGTGGCACCGAAGTAGACGGTGACGTCAGAACCCGTGCAGTGCTCGGCAGTCAGGACCCAGGTGTTTCCAATAATGGAACCACCGCACCACCAGCCGCCGCTGAAGCCCAGTCCAACGGTATAGGGGGCCTTGCCCTCAGGGGCTGGGTAGCCATTGGTGATACGGCCTTCGATCTTGTTGACCTTGGGAATGTCCTTAGGATGGACGACCGACTCGAATGCCGAGGCGGAGGCAACAGCCAAAGCGAGAATTGTTAGAAACACCTTCATGTTGTAGGTACTACTTGTAGTTCCATAGGTTCCAAACCGCTCTTTTATACTTGCTGTTTCGATAGAATTGCGATTTGGCTTATCTTGCTGTCGAAGGGCTCATAAATATTTCTTAAGTTCCATAAAACGCTCAAAGATAGTTCGTCGTCATTCTGTATATGTATATTAAAGAGATTGTCCTGACTAACTGATTAGTAAGACGCACAGCTCAATTCGTAAGAGTTACGAAGCTGAAAGTCTTAAGTTCGGTAAAACTGTAGATCTGACCTGCAGACAGTACGATAATGATGGTCAACCAATGTATACCATATATGTGTGCTAAATCAAAGTGATATCAAAGCAGAGCGTGGGACTAACAAGTAGGAGATCGGCGGTTGCAAGCCCAAAATCAGTTTCGTAGCATGGTGACCCCAAACAGTATATATATTGTTGGTCATCATCAGCAGTCGAGGCGATCTAGATATAGCCATCTTTCTGTCCTTCTGACCGTGTTATGAATGACCGATATCAGAACCCTTAAGAACTGGACACTTGATGTTTGGAACGTAGGTGCTCATAGTGCTCGCGCTTTGTTTGTTTATTTCCGTAATTCGAATCCGTTTCCGGTCGATAACTGGCCCCGGTCGATAACTGGCCCCATCCCAAGGATTTGCCTAGGTCTGCCAAGCTCGAGGGTCGCATCACCAATGGCTATCCAGCCTACGAGGGCAAGGCGCCCTACACCGTTGGCCTGAGCTTCAATGGCTGGTGGTGTGGTGGTTCCATCATTGCTCACGACTGGGTGCTGACTGCTGCTCACTGCACCAACGGTGCCAGCTCTGTAACCATCTACTACGGTGCCACCTGGCGCACCAACGCCCAGTTCACCCACCATGTTGGCAGCGGCGAGTTCAGACAGAACCACAGATGGCCCAATGAGAATGGCAATGACATCGCTCTGATCCACACTCCTCATGTCGATTTCTGGCACATGGTCAACAAGGTGGAGCTGCCCAGCTTCAACGACCGCTACAACATGTACGATAACGCATGGGCTGTTGCCTGCGGCTGGGGCATTACCTCCGATGGCGGTTCTCAACCCGACTGGTTACAGTGCGTTGACCTGCAGATCATCAGCAATAGCAAGTGCTCTGAGACCTATGGCCACCAGCCCGACGGTATTCTGTGCGTTGCCACACCCGGCGGCAAGTCCACCTGCAGCGGTGACTCTGGTGGTCCATTGGTTCTCCATAACGGCGGCAGATTGGCTGGTGTTACGTCGTGGGTTGCTGGCAATGGTTGCACAGCTGGTCTTCCAGCTGGCTTCACTCGTGTCACCCATCAGTTGGAATGGATTCGCGACAACTCTGGCGTTGCTTACTATTAAGGTGTTCTATGAACTGCATGCAAAATAAACCAATTGAACATCTCGTATTTAAATGAAATATTTATTGGGATGGGATAACTCCTAGTGTTAAACGAGAAAGCCACAAAAAGGATGTTTAGAAAAAACCAAGCTTCTCTAGTGATTCCTTCAGTTATAAATATGAAGTTATCATATTATCATCAAATGCGCATAAATTCAAAAGACTTTGCATAAATCGTGACTCGTTATCGGCTTGTAAAATTATTTTTTTATGATCGGATTATATATTTAATTTATGAACCACTCAAATTAAGATAATGGCGAATAGAGTTTGTGCATGATTTTCGTATAAAAGCAACAGTAGGGTCCACCGAGGCTCAAGTTGTACCTGCAATATGAAGGTGTTCATTACAATTTTGGCTTTGGCTGTTGCCTCCGCCACTGGAGCTGCGGTGCCTGCCGCCACGCAGAAGGCTGTCCATATGAAGGACATGTCCAGCCGTATCACCAATGGCTACCCAGCCTATGAGGGCAAGGCCCCCTATACCGTTGGCCTGGGCTTCAGCGGGGGCTGGTGGTGCGGTGGTTCCATCATTGGAAACACCTGGGTCCTGACTGCCGAGCACTGCACGGGCTCTGACGTCACCGTCTACTTCGGTGCCACCTGGCGCACCAACGCCCAGTTCACCCACTGGGTCAGCCGTAATGACATCATCAACCACCACAACGCTGATATCGCTCTGATCCGTATTCCCCATGTGGACTTCTGGCACATGGTCAACAAGGTGGAGCTGCCCAGCTACAACGATCGCTACAACGACTTCAATGAACGCTGGGCCGTTGCTTGCGGCTGGGGTGGTACCTACGATGGCAGCCCACTGCCCGACTGGCTGCAGTGCGTCGACCTGCAAATCATGCACAACTCCGAATGCCAGAGGACCTACGGCTCTTCCGTTGTAGGAGACAACATCCTCTGTGTAAGAACTCCCGACGGCAAGTCCACCTGCGGTGGTGACTCCGGTGGTCCATTGGTTACACACGACGGCAACAAATTGGTGGGCGTTACCAACTTTGGCACTTCCTCGTGCACATCTGGTGCTCCAGCTGGCTTCCAGCGCGTCACCTACCACTTGGACTGGATCCGCGACCACACTGGCATCGCTTACTAATAGATTTAAATATAAACATCAAATAAAATTGATTTGAATGCATTTGATAAGCGTTTCTTATGTAAATTTGTTGTCTGTATTGAGTACAACAGTCAAGTTTTAAGAAACCAGAAAAGATTTTTAAATGTATAAGCACAAAGGTTTATGGTTCTTGGGATCAAAATAGTTGTAAGCCACTGCTCATGATTACGGTTTCTATTCCATGAAAAATACTTTGATTTCAAAATTCTCCTTTTAATTCCCTGAACCCATTGAAAATGGGTATTATGTATTTGTGCAAATGTATGTAACAGGCAGAAGGAAGCATCTACGACCCCATAAAGTATATATATTCTTGATCAGCATCTATAGCCGAGTCGCTTTAGCCATGTCCCTCTGTCTGTCCGGTCGTCCGTCCGGCAATAAGATATACTGTAGAAAATTTCATTAAGATCGGTTAAGAGAAAACCAAAGTTATATGTAATTGCGCAATTGGATGGCACTGCTAGCGAAATTATCAAGAATTTGTGTATACATGTACACACACACATTCATGCGCGTCTGCTTCGCATTCTATCGAATTCTAACGGCATTGTAATTGCGAATTTTTTATATAATGCTATTTTAGTTCGTTTTTTTCTCATTGCTACTTAATTATTGGTGTGGCTGTTGAGTAGAGGCATAGCAAGTGTTGTGGTCTGTTGCGAGTCCGAGCCCTACCTGGGTAACTATTTTTTTTGATGATGCTGGTTTGTCTGTTGAGTAGAGTCAGCAAATAATACGGTGCAAGTTCGAACCCTGCCAAGGAAATTTTTTTTTATTATTTATCTTTATTACTTCAAACGAGCGCGTTGCGCGAACTGCATTTGGTGTTGGAATAAAAGGGTTCAGGGTATTCCCCAGTCGGGAGCTCCCGACTAGAACCTCTTACTTGTTTCTGGCTAACTGAGTAACTGACTCTGAGCTAACTGAGTAACTGACTCCTTGACTGGTGGTCAACGAGCCTTGGCATGAAGATGGATCTATTTGCGTTTCGCTACGCTTTCTGACGTAAAATAGGCATCAAACAAGACAAGAGAGTATAATGTATTCATTTTATATATGTATGCTTTATTTGGGTCATTTTGGAAGCAGTAGCTTATTAGTAAGAAATGCCAGTGTGGTCACGAATCCAGTCCAAGTGGTAGGTGACACGCTGGAAGCCAGATGGGTGTCCAGATTGGCAACCGGCAGCAGAAACCCAGTTGGTAACACCGACCAGTTTGTTGCTGTCGTGTGTAACCAATGGACCACCGGAGTCACCACCGCAGGTGGACTTGCCGTCGGGAGTTCTCACACAGAGGATGTTGTCAGTAACAGTTCCAGAGCCGTAAGTCTGCTGGCACTCGGAGTTGTGCATGATCTGCAGGTCGACGCACTGAAGATAGTCGGGCAATGGGCTGCCATCGTAGGTACCACCCCAGCCGCAAGCAACGGCCCAGTTATTGTTGTAGTCGTTGTAGCGATCGTTGTAGCTGGGCAGCTCCACCTTGTTAACCATGTGCCAGAAGTCCACATGGGGAATGCGGATCAGAGCGATGTCAGCGCTGTTGTGGTTGATGATGTCATTGCCGCTGACCCAGTGGGTGAACTGGGCGTTGGTGCGCCAGGTGGCACCGAAGTAGACGGTGACGTCAGAACCCGTGCAGTGCTCGGCAGTCAGGACCCAGGTGTTTCCAATAATGGAACCACCGCACCACCAGCCGCCGCTGAAGCCCAGTCCAACGGTATAGGGGGCCTTGCCCTCAGGGGCTGGGTAGCCATTGGTGATACGGCCTTCGATCTTGTTGACCTTGGGAATGTCCTTAGGATGGACGACCGACTCGAATGCCGAGGCGGAGGCAACAGCCAAAGCGAGAATTGTTAGAAACACCTTCATGTTGTAGGTACTACTTGTAGTTCCATAGGTTCCAAACCGCTCTTTTATACTTGCTGTTTCGATAGAATTGCGATTTGGCTTATCTTGCTGTCGAAGGGCTCATAAATATTTCTTAAGTTCCATAAAACGCTCAAAGATAGTTCGTCGTCATTCTGTATATGTATATTAAAGAGATTGTCCTGACTAACTGATTAGTAAGACGCACAGCTCAATTCGTAAGAGTTACGAAGCTGAAAGTCTTAAGTTCGGTAAAACTGTAGATCTGACCTGCAGACAGTACGATAATGATGGTCAACCAATGTATACCATATATGTGTGCTAAATCAAAGTGATATCAAAGCAGAGCGTGGGACTAACAAGTAGGAGATCGGCGGTTGCAAGCCCAAAATCAGTTTCGTAGCATGGTGACCCCAAACAGTATATATATTGTTGGTCATCATCAGCAGTCGAGGCGATCTAGATATAGCCATCTTTCTGTCCTTCTGACCGTGTTATGAATGACCGATATCAGAACCCTTAAGAACTGGACACTTGATGTTTGGAACGTAGGTGCTCATAGTGCTCGCGCTTTGTTTGTTTATTTCCGTAATTCGAATCCGTTTCCGGTCGATAACTGGCCCCGGTCGATAACTGGCCCCATCCCAAGGATTTGCCTAGGTCTGCCAAGCTCGAGGGTCGCATCACCAATGGCTATCCAGCCTACGAGGGCAAGGCGCCCTACACCGTTGGCCTGAGCTTCAATGGCTGGTGGTGTGGTGGTTCCATCATTGCTCACGACTGGGTGCTGACTGCTGCTCACTGCACCAACGGTGCCAGCTCTGTAACCATCTACTACGGTGCCACCTGGCGCACCAACGCCCAGTTCACCCACCATGTTGGCAGCGGCGAGTTCAGACTGAACCACAGATGGCCCAATGAGAATGGCAATGACATCGCTCTGATCCACACTCCTCATGTCGATTTCTGGCACATGGTCAACAAGGTGGAGCTGCCCAGCTTCAACGACCGCTACAACCTGGAATGGATTCGCGACAACTCTGGCGTTGCTTACTATTAAGGTGTTCTATGAACTGCATGCAAAATAAACCAATTGAACATCTCGTATTTAAATGAAATATTTATTGGGATGGGATAACTCCTAGTGTTAAACGAGAAAGCCACAAAAAGGATGTTTAGAAAAAACCAAGCTTCTCTAGTGATTCCTTCAGTTATAAATATGAAGTTATCATATTATCATCAAATGCGCATAAATTCAAAAGACTTTGCATAAATCGTGACTCGTTATCGGCTTGTAAAATTATTTTTTTATGATCGGATTATATATTTAATTTATGAACCACTCAAATTAAGATAATGGCGAATAGAGTTTGTGCATGATTTTCGTATAAAAGCAACAGTAGGGTCCACCGAGGCTCAAGTTGTACCTGCAATATGAAGGTGTTCATTACAATTTTGGCTTTGGCTGTTGCCTCCGCCACTGGAGCTGCGGTGCCTGCCGCCACGCAGAAGGCTGTCCATATGAAGGACATGTCCAGCCGTATCACCAATGGCTACCCAGCCTATGAGGGCAAGGCCCCCTATACCGTTGGCCTGGGCTTCAGCGGGGGCTGGTGGTGCGGTGGTTCCATCATTGGAAACACCTGGGTCCTGACTGCCGAGCACTGCACGGGCTCTGACGTCACCGTCTACTTCGGTGCCACCTGGCGCACCAACGCCCAGTTCACCCACTGGGTCAGCCGTAATGACATCATCAACCACCACAACGCTGATATCGCTCTGATCCGTATTCCCCATGTGGACTTCTGGCACATGGTCAACAAGGTGGAGCTGCCCAGCTACAACGATCGCTACAACGACTTCAATGAACGCTGGGCCGTTGCTTGCGGCTGGGGTGGTACCTACGATGGCAGCCCACTGCCCGACTGGCTGCAGTGCGTCGACCTGCAAATCATGCACAACTCCGAATGCCAGAGGACCTACGGCTCTTCCGTTGTAGGAGACAACATCCTCTGTGTAAGAACTCCCGACGGCAAGTCCACCTGCGGTGGTGACTCCGGTGGTCCATTGGTTACACACGACGGCAACAAATTGGTGGGCGTTACCAACTTTGGCACTTCCTCGTGCACATCTGGTGCTCCAGCTGGCTTCCAGCGCGTCACCTACCACTTGGACTGGATCCGCGACCACACTGGCATCGCTTACTAATAGATTTAAATATAAACATCAAATAAAATTGATTTGAATGCATTTGATAAGCGTTTCTTATGTAAATTTGTTGTCTGTATTGAGTACAACAGTCAAGTTTTAAGAAACCAGAAAAGATTTTTAAATGTATAAGCACAAAGGTTTATGGTTCTTGGGATCAAAATAGTTGTAAGCCAGTGCTCTTGATTAGTGTTTCTATCCTTCACTTTTATTCCATGAAGAATTTTTTATGTGTTGGGGTACTTTCTCTGATCAGTCAGTAAGAATGGTCTTTTGATTATTTCAGGCAGATCTTTGTTTTCCTGCTCGATGCCAGTTCTCGCATATAACTCTTCTGTTTTTTATTGGTATTCCTAACTTTTTTCCTAGCTTGCTTCATTGAGGTTTGCTGAAAAAAACATTCTCAAGATCGATATTTATCGATATAGCGAAAATGCGAGCTTGATCTGCGATATGCATGTTCTCTTGTATCTCTCAATTGTACAATTCAGTCATTTGTTTTGTAGTTTCCGAAATCGAGGTGGACATGGTCACATCGACTAAGTTCCTTTTTCTGATAAAGGTTATCTATACTTTATGGGGCTACTTAATGGAGTTAATTGTTTAATTTTGATTGTTCATATCTCTATTTCTTCTTCATATCAATTTCGATTATGCATTTCGCCTCCATTTCATCAGCTAAATCGGATTTATTCATTACATCTACAATTATTTTACTTTTCTATCTCAAATAATTCCACTCCATCTATTTTCAAGAGGCACTTATTTTCTAATTACTATTTTCATCCAACCATTTTTCTAGCGGAATTGCATCTAGTAATTCGTTTTTGCATTCTAGCTTTTAACTTTTCAATTGAACCTTTTCGTTTTCTTAAGCCAAGTGGCACAATCATTCCCAAAATAATTTAAAGAAATAAATCTTAAACCCCTTATCAGGTATTTCGTTATCTTCGATGCATTTTTATATAGAACTTTCAGAGAATATTTATGAGGCAATTCAATTTACAAATACCATAATACTTGAAAAAGTGAGTGTGATTAATGCTCTGGCTTATAAAAGCTCGTTGAAAATTAATTCCCAAACCTAGTAGTGTTTGAGACATGAAACTGATTGTAGCTTGTTTGGCTTTGGCCATTGCTGCCGCCACGGCGGCACCCACCGAGACTGTAGTGCATCCCAAGGATCTGTCAAAACCCAACAAGATCGAGGGTCGTATTACCAACGGATATCCAGCATATGAGGGCAAAGCACCTTACACTGTTGGCTTGAGCATTAATATTCCCGGTGGTACTACCTGGTGCGGTGGCTCCATCATTGGACACACCTGGGTCCTGACTGCCGAGCACTGCACCAGCAACGCTGAGGCCGTGGGCGTTCACTTCGGTGCCACGTGGCGTACCAACTCCATATTCACCCACTGGGTTGGCCGCAACGATATCATCAATCACCATGACGCCGATATTGCTTTGATCCGCACTCCTCATGTGGACTTCTGGGATTTGGTCAACAAAGTGGAGCTGCCCAGCTACAACGAGCGCTACAACGATTTCAATGAACACTGGGCCGTTACTTGCGGCTGGGGACGTACATATGATAACAGCGACTTGCCCGACTGGATGCAGTGCGTCGACCTGCAGATCATGCACAACTCCGAATGCCAGCAGACTTACGGCTCTTCCGTAGTAGGAGACAACATCATCTGTGTAAGAACTCCGGGCGGCAAATCCACCTGCGGTGGTGACTCCGGTGGTCCATTGGTTACACACGACAGCAACAAATTGGTCGGTGTTACCAACTTTGGCACTACCTCGTGCACATCTGGTGCTCCAGTTGGCTTCCAGCGTGTCACCTACCACTTGGACTGGATCCGTGACCACACTGGCATCGCTTACTAATAGATTTAGCTTGAAATATAAAATAAAATTGATTTGAATGCATTTGATAATAGTTTCTTATATTAATTTGTTCTCTGTATTGAGTACAATAGTTAAGCTTTAAGAAATCAAGACAGATTTTTAAATGTATAAGCACAAAGGTTTATGGTTCTTGGGATCAAAATAGTTGTAAGCCACTGCTCATGATTACGGTTTCTATTCTCCTTTTTTATTCCATGAAAAATACTTTGATTTTAAAATTCTCCTTTTAATTCCCTGAACCCATTGAAAATGGGTATTATGCATTTGTGCAAATGTATGTTACAGGCAGAAGGAAGCATCTACGACCCCATAAAGTATATATATTCTTGATCAGCATCTATAGCCGAGTCGCTTTAGCCATGTCCCTCTGTCTGTCCGGTCGTCCGTCCGGCAATAAGATATACTGTAGAAAATTTCATTAAGATCGGTTAAGAGAAAACCAAAGTTATATGTAATTGCGCAATTGGATGGCACTGCTAGCGAAATTATCAAGAATTTGTGTATACATGTACACACACACATTCATGCGCGTCTGCTTCGCATTCTATCGAATTCTAACGGCATTGTAATTGCGAATTTTTTATATAATGCTATTTTAGTTCGTTTTTTTCTCATTGCTACTTAATTATTGGTGTGGCTGTTGAGTAGAGGCATAGCAAGTGTTGTGGTCTGTCGCGAGTCCGAGCCCTACCTGGGTAACTATTTTTTTTGATGATGCTGGTTTGTCTGTTGAGTAGAGTCAGCAAATAATACGGTGCAAGTTCGAACCCTGCCAAGGAAATTTTTTTTATTATTTATCTTTATTACTTCAAACGAGCGCGTTGCGCGAACTGCATTTGGTGTTGGAATAAAAGGGTTCAGGGTATTCCCCAGTCGGGAGCTCCCGACTAGAACCTCTTACTTGTTTCCTATTATGTTGTCTGTACATATTTATAAACTTTTTATAAAGTAGAGTGACATATCTCAAACGGCTTGTCATGATTCTCTGACTAATTGACTCACTGGCTAACTGAGTAACTGACTCATTGACTGGTGGTCAACGAGCCTTAGCAGGAAGATGGATCTATTTGCGTTTCGTTACGCTTTCTGACGTAAAATAGGCATCAAAGAAGACAAGAGAGTATAATGTATTCATTTTATATATGTATGCTTTATTTGGGTCATTTTGGAAGCAGTAGCTTATTAGTAAGAAATGCCAGTGTGGTCACGAATCCAGTCCAAGTGGTAGGTGACACGCTGGAAGCCAGATGGGTGTCCAGATTGACAACCGGCAGCAGAAACCCAGTTGGTAACACCGACCAGTTTGTTGCTGTCGTGTGTAACCAATGGACCACCGGAGTCACCACCGCAGGTGGACTTGCCGTCGGGAGTTCTCACACAGAGGATGTTGTCAGTAACAGTTCCAGAGCCGTAAGTCTGCTGGCACTCGGAGTTGTGCATGATCTGCAGGTCGACGCACTGAAGATAGTCGGGCAGTGGGCTGCCATCGTAGGTACCACCCCAGCCGCAAGCAACGGCCCAGTTATTGTTGTAGTCGTTGTAGCGATCGTTGTAGCTGGGCAGCTCCACCTTGTTAACCATGTGCCAGAAGTCCACATGGGGAATGCGGATCAGAGCGATGTCAGCGCTGTTGTGGTTGATGATGTCATTGCCGCTGACCCAGTGGGTGAACTGGGCGTTGGTGCGCCAGGTGGCACCGAAGTAGACGGTGACGTCAGAACCCGTGCAGTGCTCGGCAGTCAGGACCCAGGTGTTTCCAATAATGGAACCACCGCACCACCAGCCGCCGCTGAAGCCCAGTCCAACGGTATAGGGGGCCTTGCCCTCAGGGGCTGGGTAGCCATTGGTGATACGGCCTTCGATCTTGTTGACCTTGGGAATGTCCTTAGGATGGACGACCGACTCGAATGCCGAGGCGGAGGCAACAGCCAAAGCGAGAATTGTTAGAAACACCTTCATGTTGTAGGTACTACTTGTAGTTCCATAGGCTCCGCATCGATCTTTTATACTCGTGCTGTCGCTTTAGAGTTGACTTGGTCGAATCGCTCATAAATATTCCTTGAGCTCCACCAAATGCCCAGAGATAAGTTTTATGGAGTTAAAGATTAAAATACGCCGTTTAATATATTTTAATATACAATTCTATAAAAAGTTATCCTTATCAGATTTCTAGATTTTTGCTACTTTTACGCAAGTCCATATTCATAAAAGGTTTCATTCACAATAAATATTTCACTGGAGCAGCGATATGATTGATTCTAAATATAAATGCTTGTTTACGCTTTTGGCTTAATTCATTAACTCGACGTGGGGTTATTATAGTTAAGATGGCGTGTTTGTACTGACCTACTATTGAAAATGTCTGACGGGTCATGGTGCTTAATTTAATTGTTTATGTCTCTAGTTCTGCTTTATAATTATTTCATTTATGCATTTCGCCTTTTCATACTATTTATTATTCCAGTTATCCATACCATATCAGTTGAATCACATTTATTCCTTTCATTTAATTATTATACTTCTTTATCCCAAATTATTACACTCCATCTATTATTTAGGCGTTTTTTCTAATTCTAATTTCTATTACTATCCAACCATTACACCAATGGTATTGCATCTAGTAATTCGTTTTCTTTATCCAAGCGGATTTATATTCACCTTACAAATTGTTTCGCATAATCATTCCCAAAATAATTCCAATTGAAGAACTTAATCATTAAAGCTGAAGAGCTTAGGCTCGGAATTTCGTTATCTTCGATGCATTTTTATATAGAACTGTCAGAGAATATTTATGGGGCAAATCAATTTACAAATACTTTAATACTTGAAAATGTGAGGGTGGTTAACGCTCTGGCTTATAAAAGCTCGTTGAAAATAAATTCCCGAACCAAGTAGTGTTTGAGACATGAAACTGTTTGTAGCTTGTTTGGCTTTGGCCATTGCTGCCGCCACGGCGGCACCCACCGAGACTGTAGTGCATCCCAAGGATCTGCCCAAACCCAACAAGATCGAGGGTCGTATTACCAACGGAAATCCAGCATATGAGGGCCAAGCACCTTACACTGTTGGCTTGAGCATTAACATTCCCGGTGGTACTACCTGGTGCGGTGGCTCCATCATTGGACACACCTGGGTCCTGACTGCCGAGCACTGCACCAGCAACGCTGAGGCCGTGGGCGTTCACTTCGGTGCCACTTGGCGTACCAACTCCATATTCACCCACTGGGTTGGCCGCAACGATATCATTAATCACCATGCCGCCGATATTGCTTTGATCCGCATTCCTCATGTGGACTTCTGGGATTTGGTCAACAAAGTGGAACTGCCCAGCTATAACGAGCGCTACAACGATTTCAATGGATGGTGGTCCTTTGCCTGCGGCTGGGGTCGTACTTATGATAACAGTGGCTTGCCCGACTGGATGCAGTGCGTCGATCTGCAGGTGATGCCCAACCACGAGTGCCAGCAGACTTATGGCTCCAGCGTTGTAGGGGACAACATTGTTTGCGTACGTACTCCTGAAGGCAAATCGACATGCAGTGGAGATTCTGGCGGCCCATTGGTTATTCACGAAGGCAAGAAACTTATTGGTGTTACCAACTGGGTTTCTTCTGCGGGTTGCCAATCTGGACATCCATCTGGCTTCCAGCGTGTCACCTACCACTTGGACTGGATTCGCGACATAACGGGCATTGCCTACTACTAAGCGATCAGCTCTGAATTTAATTGAAAATACAAGGAATTATGAAAAAGCAACAACTTTTTTTTTATTTTTTAGCAGTATTATCTTATTTTTATGCTCCTTTGTAACGAAAAGTCTTTATACCTTTTTAAGAATGGCTTATGCTTTTCTAAATTATACGAGTTAAGGGGTACTTAACAGAGTTTTTGAACTGGAATATTGAGCTTAGCAATACAACATTGAAAAATGTTATTTAATTTTGCTCAAGCTTAACAATACATTGTGTAATACATGTTGTGTAATACATGTTCGGACTTAAAGACAGTCTTGTCTTCTATTAATAAGAGGAAGTCTGATAAGAGAAAGAAAGGAAAGAAGTATAGCATATAGACTTAAAGTATACGATAAAATTGATATCACAACTTGATAATATAACATTGAGTATAAAGCTTGGAAAACTGCAATCATACATGAAATCTTGAGAATCACATAGAAGGACATTACAAATAGTCAGGGATGCCCAGAAACTCTGAACCTTTTTCTACCAACACCAAATGCAGGTCTTGTTTTATTCGTTTGCTTAGCATTAATAAAACTAAATTACAAAGAGATGGTTCCCTCTCCCGGTATTGAACTCGAAAATAAATCACCTTATTAATCACAACCATTCCAAGAATTAACTATTGAAGACACATATTAACTTACATAAATACATGCATGCATACATACATACATGCATACGGAATACATGCCTAATTACGTGCATGCATACATGCATTCTTATTTGCATACATGTATATATGCATGCATATATGCATACATACATGCATACGTACAAGCATACATACATGCATACATACATGCATACATACATGCATACATACATGCATACATATATGCATACATACATGCATACATACTTGCATACATACATGCATTCATGTATACATACATGCATACATGAAAGCGTTAAGCATTATTTTATACATACATATATGTGAACACTCATACGTACATATAGATGCCCAAAAGAAAGTGAAATAAATCACACACAACTTGATTATATCAGTTTTTAGCAAGTCATGCACGCTTATATGCCTTATGTTAATTCATGAGAATCGCATAGTAAAGCGTTACCCACATTTGGATTTTATTAACTTGCAACGTAGTAAAGTAAACTTGGTCGGCGCTTAACATAAAGACGTACGTAGGCACATAAAAGCATACATACTTACGCACATTCAGGAATAGTTAGAACAATTTTGAATGATTTATTGATAATTAATTAAAATTATTATATATATAAAACATGAAAATATGATCAAATCTTAAGTGACTCGTGTCAATCATTATCACTGATTTTTCCTCTATCCGGCAAAACAAAATTTTTTTACGATTCCACTTGTGTGTTGTAAAGATAATAAAAATAAATCATTCATATTTAAAGATTATTGAGTGCAACTCAGTTTAGCTATAAAAGTGACAAACTTTAAGGCATAGCCCAAGTTGTGCAAGCGACATGAAGGTGTTCATTACAATTTTGGTTTTGGCTGTGGCCGCCGCTTCAGCGGCCCCCTCGGCGGGTATTGCCTATCCCAAGGATCTGGCCAAATCCTCGAAAATCGAGGGACGCATTACTAATGGCTATCCCGCATACGAGGGTAAGGCGCCCTACACCGTTGGCCTGGGCTTCAGCAGCAACGGCGGTGGCTGGTGGTGCGGTGGTTCTATCATTGGCAACACCTGGGTCCTGACTGCCGAGCACTGCTCTGGCAGTGCTGAGTCCGTGACCGTCTACTTCGGTGCCACCTGGCGCACAGACGCCCAGTACACCCACTGGGTTGGCCGCAACGACTTCATCAACCATCACGACTCTGACATCGCCTTGATCCGCATTCCCCATGTGGACTTCTGGCACATGGTCAACAAGGTGGAGCTGCCCAGCTACAACGATCGCTACAACGACTACAATGAAAACTGGGCCGTTGCTTGCGGCTGGGGTGGCACCTACGATGGCAGCCCACTGCCCGACTGGCTGCAGTGCGCCGACCTGCAGATTATTCATAATTCCGAGTGTGCAAACTACTATGGCACGGGCCTGATCCAGGATAAGATTATCTGTGTGCGCGTTGTCGATGGCAAGGGTACATGCAGTGGTGACTCCGGTGGCCCATTGGTCACACACGACGGCAACAAACTGGTGGGTGTTACCAACTTTGTGCCTGCCGCTGGATGCCAATCTGGTGGACCAGCTGGTTTCGCGCGTGTCACCTACCACTTGGACTGGATTCGTGACCACACTGGCATTTCTTACTAAACAATTCTTGAATAAAAAATCATGCAAAGTTGATAACTCTCGTTAAATGCTTATTCGGTGGGGATTAAAACTCAATGTTCAGGGTCTCTAATCTGTGATCTCTGGATGTGCCGAGTAAACAGAATAATCACGTTTATCTAGGAATATTATTGATTTGGGTATATTTCAATCTTAAGATGGCAAATAAGACGAACATACTTCTTTAAATTAGATTACACACATGGTAGATTATTTTCATTTAATAGGCATACTATTTGGGTTTTAGGGTAACGATATTCCTGTGATAACATTAGGTTTATATATTCTGAAGCATACTTTCAAGCATATTGAGTTCGATTGAGCTATACCTGATCCGTCCAATCATTCATATATGCATATGTATGTATGAATGCGTCCATCTCAGCGACTATTAGAGCTTTTAATTACGCTCTTATCTTTTAGCTTCGGTACATATTGTCCGATCTACACTATTGTTCAATACATTTATATATTTTTTAATTCATATATATATATATATATATATATAAATTTTTAACGCCAGCTCGTCGCTGGAATAAGGGTATTTCCTAGTCAGACGGTCTTGAATAAAGTATTCATACATGTTTTATTTTGATCGCACAAAACTCATGAGCTTTTTTTTTAAATGCATGTATTTATGTTTATAAACTTGTCGGATGACAGACAAGTTCGTTTAAATGACTGGCAAAATCAAAAAACACTTGTTTTATTATCAGAAGCAAGATATAGTATGGTATATACAGACATAATAATTATTTATACCCTTGCTGATGGTACTATAAATACATCACAAGACGCGTGGCTCAAATTCCCATTATCTCGATCAGTATCAAAAGTCGAGGCGATATGTATATTCCAAATAATATCTCAGTTTTAACGCTCTACTGATACAACTTTGTGCTGTCATGTCCATCGTTATCTTACATAACCTGAAACAAAAGTGCGAAAAAGACTGAACCACTCTCACTTTTGAGTACAAAATAAATTGATGGTCTATAGGAAATAAATTATAATATACAAACAACGGTCACATCTTCGCACGCATTTACATGCATTTGAAATTACGAGACCGACAACATAGTAAAAGGAAGATTTCGATTTTATTGAAGAGAAGCATACAGCTTTTATACAAAGTGAAGACACAGTTCATCCTTAGAAAGGATGAAGAGATTTCCGTCGGATGACAGAACACGCGATCCAGGATAGCGGTTGCCAATAATAGGTGCTATGTTAGACCTCTCGTAACTAAAGGATTCCGAATAAGTTAACAGCTACGCATAATACTATTGAAATATTTTTAAAATAGAATAGAATAGCAAACGAAATTTTATATACTTTTTTGGTATACCATGGTTTATTTGGAGTATTTAGAAATATTCCGTTGAAGGTGCATTTAGTAGGAAACGCCGGAGTTGGTCTTGATCCAGTCCAAGAAGCTGGTCACACGGGTGAAGCCAGCTGGGAGGCCAGACTCGCAGCCAGAGCTGGACACAAAAGAGGTGACACCAATAAGTTTGCCGGAGCTTTCGAGGACCAATGGGCCACCAGAATCACCGTTGCAGGTGGAAGACTTGTTGGGAGTGGCAATGCAGATAACCTTGGAGCTGGCGGTCAAAGAGCCATAGGTGGCCTGGCAAGTGGCGACAGACACCACCTCAAAGGTCTGGTACTGCAGTACGTTGGTCACACTGGTAGCGCTATCGGAGGTCTTGCCCCAGCCAGAGGCGATAGCCTTCTCGCCGGCATAGGTGGAGTAGCTGCTGGCAATAGCTGGCAATTCAATCTTGTTGATGTAGGCGGTGAAGGACACGGTAGGTGTCTGGATCAGCGAGATATCGTTGGACAAAACAATAGAGTTGTAGCTGGTGTGCTGCTTGAAGTTGGAGCTGGAGACGGTCTGGGTAAGCTTGGCGTTGGTGCGTTGAAGAGCACCATAGTAGATGGTCACCGAGGAGGCACTGCAGACAAGGATACAAAGCCGTTAGTGTAAGGGAAAAGTCTTGGATGGGAACACTTACCCGCTGGTGCAGTGAGCGGCAGTCAGCACCCACTGGTTGTCAATGATGGAGCCACCGCACCACCAGCTACCGCTGGAGCTGGAGAAGCTTAGTCCCACCTGGTAGGGGAACTGACCCTCCGTGGCGGTCTTGCCGTTGGTGATACGTCCCTGAATCGAGGGCACGGCGGGCAAGTAACGAGGATGCACGGGTGCATTCTGGGGCATAACGCCAGCGGAGACGGTGGCAAAAGCCAGAGCAAGAACTACGAGTACTTTCATCTTGATCGTTGTTGAATGAACGAATGATTTTCCACTGATCACAGCTGTATTTTATAGTGAGTTCTAATCAGCTGTTATCTAGCCTTATCAAACGAAGCGTTTAAGATTGTATTTCAAGCAGGAGACATCAATGGGACATTCAGAACTATGTCTGGCAGGCATCCAGACCTTTATCTATTTCCCACTCAATACTAATGAATAATCAATACTCTTTAGTTTGAGAATTATTTAATTCAAATGGATTTTCTACCACTCGAACTTATCATATAATTTTAACCTGAAATTGCCTTTTTCATTCTATTTTCCGAGGTTCTAGAAAAAAACCCTGTACCAATTAGTACTTACTTCTCTGTATAAATACATTAATTATTCTCAAAACGCTGACGGGCCATATATATGTATATGTGAATATGTGATATATGTGATATATATGATATATGTGAATATATATAATTCTTGGCATAACACTTTCCTCTTTTTCGCCTGATACACACACTTTCACAACGCCAATATGCTTTTATCTTTATGGGTACAGGGTAGACGAATTTTTCGCAAAACAAAATAAATCAAATTATGAAATTGATTAAATGATAATTGATTGTGCTTCTTAACATTGCTATTATTATTGTTTTTGGGGAATTGCACCAAAATCATATTTCGCTTTCGCTTAATTCAAGTGTCGGATATTCCCAGAGATTAGGCACGGCCTTTAGAACATATTCCGTATACGCAACGTTGTCCCAAATGTTGCCAATTTATTCTAGAAAATATATGCGTTGGCGCTGCTTAGTTGAGTTTAGGAAAATTGAAATCAATTCGCTTTACGTGCTAAGCATGCAAACAAATTTTCAACATTTTGCTGCTATCCCTAAAGCCTTTGAGAGAATCAAAACATATATGAAATATATATGCAGCTGTCTTAATGCGTTTCTCTGTATAGGGGCATGACCTGTCTCCCCAAATCTGCTTAAGTTCTTAATAATAATAATAAGACTCTTCGTACACGCCAAAGATTTTTGTTATGTTCCAATTTAGATACATACTTTTTGGGCTGTTAGTTAACAATATTTCAGATATAGTTTTAGCGTGGCAATTTTAAAGCATACTTTTCAGCGTGTTATTTATGTCTATCTAATTTCCCAACTAAGCTCATGAGAACTTTGGAAAGTAAAGCAAAGTTCCGAGAGTAGAGCCTGAAGGTTGTTTTGGGTACACGATCAGGATCTTTTTAGTCTGCCTTCAATTGCATTATTTAAAATCTCTCTGTTTTCATCTTGTTGCTAAGCTGTAAGGATAATTATTTGGAAAATTTATTTTAGGTAAAATTCATGTAAATATGGTACCGCCAAATATCCTATATGGACATAGGTCAAAATTTCTCACCCCTATAACTCGGTCAAATCTCATCAGATTTTCACGAACTTTGGCTTTTTGTTCATAGTTTTCCCTCTAAAATAAACTGACATTAAAATCTTACTACGTAAATTTTTGTCCAAATTCATGTCAAAATCTTACCCCTTTTGTTCCTATATAGACATAGGTCAAAACTGCTCACCCCCATAACTCGGTCAAATCGCATCAGATTTTCACGAGCCTTGGCCTTTTGTTCATAGTTTTCCCTCTAGAATAAACTGGCATTAAAATCTGACAACGTAAATTTTAGTCGAAATTCATGTCAAAATCTTACCCTCAAATATTCTATATAGACATAGGTCAAAACTTCTCACCCCCATAACTCGGTCAAATCTCATCAGATTTTCACGAGCTTTGGCCTTTTGTTCATAGTTTTCCCTCTAGAATAAACTGGCATTAAAATCTGACTACGTAAATTTTAGTCGAAATTCATGTCAAAATCTTACTCTCAAATATTCTATATAGACATAGGTCAAAACTTCTCACCCCCATAATTCGGTCAAATCTCATCAGATTTTCACGAGCTTTGGTTTTTTGTTCATAGTTTTCCCTCTAAAATAATCTGGCATTAAAATCTGACAACGTAAATATTAGTCGAAATTCATGTCAAAATCTTACCCTCAAATATTCTATATAGACATAGGTCAAAACTTCTCACCCCCATAACTCGGTCAAATCTCATCAGATTTTCACGAGCTTTGGTTTTTTGTTCATAGTTTTCCCTCTAGAATAAACTGGCATTTAAATCTGACTACGTAAATTTTAGTCGAAATTCATGTCAAAATCTTACCCTCAAATATTCTATATGGACATAGGTCAAAACTTCTCACCCCCATAACTCGGTCAAATCTTATCAGATTTTCACGAACTTTGGCATTTTGTTCATAGTTTTCCCTCTAGAATAAACTGGCATTAAAATCTGACTACGTAAATTTTGGTCCAAATTCATGTCAAAATCTTACCCTCAAATATTCTATATAGACATAGGTCAAAACTTCTCACCCCTATAATTCGGTCAAATCTCATCAGATTTTCACGAGCTTTGGCTTTTTATTCATAGTTTTCCCTCTAGAATAATCTGGCATTAAAATCTGACTACGTAAATTTTTTTCCAAATTCATGTCAAAATCTTACCGGAAATATTCTATATAGACATAGGTCAAAACTTCTCACCCCCATAACTCGGTCAAATCTCATCCGATTTTCACGAGCTTTGGCTTTTTGTTCATAGTTTTCCCTCTAGAATAAACTGGCATTAAAATCTGACTACGTACATTTTTGTCCAAATTCATGTCAAAATCTTACCCCTTATATATATAGACAT